TAGACCGGGATGTGTGCTAGGACGTGTGTTGCCTTCGTGTGCTAAGATGTGTGCTGCCTCCGTGTGCTGGGATACGTGCTGTCCGTGCCCTCACGCCCACCTGCCCCCCCCGCACCCCTCCGCCCCGTGGCCCCCGTCTGGTTATTCCGACCGACCGGCCGTGCCGCCCCCCTTTGCCCGACGGTGCCCTCCCGTCCCCCTGCTCCCCCACCGCGCACCTCCACCTCGTGGTCCCACATTTGTTGAATCCGACCGACCGACCGTGCCCCCCTCCCGTTTGCTTATTCCGACCGACCGACCGACCGTGCCACCTCCCCCTCTGCCCGACCGTGCTCCCCCGCCCTACTGCTCCCCCACCGCGCACCTCCACCTCGTGCCCCCCCCCATTTTTTCTCCGACCGACCGACCGTGCCCCCCCACTCTGCCCGACCGTGCCCTCCCGCCCCCTCCCCCGCACCCTTCCGCCGCATGGCCCTCTGTCTGCTTTTTCCACCCAACCGACCGTGCCCTTCCCACCCCTCTCTGCCCGACCGTGCCCCCCTCCCGCACTCCTCCCCCGCACCACCCCGCACCCTTCCGCACCGTGGCCCCCGTCTGCTTGTTCCGACCGACCGACCGTGCCCCCCCTCTGCACGACCGGCCCCCCCGCCCCCCTGCTCCCCCCCCGCACCTCCACATCGTTTGCATGTTCCGATCGACCGACCGTGCCACCTCCCCCTCTGCCCGACCGTGCTCTCCCGCCCCACTGCTCCCCCCCCGCACCCCTCCGCCCCGTGGCCCCTGTCTGCTTATTCCGACTGACTGACCGTGTCTTGCCGAGCGGCCCCCGTCTGATCATTCCGACGGACCGACCGCCCCCCCCTCTGCCCGACCGTGCCATCCCCCCCTTGCCCCCCGCCCTGCGCCCCTCCGCCCCGTGGCCCCGCCTGCTTGTTCCGACCGACAGACCGCCCCCCTCCTCTGCGCGACCGTGCCCTCCCGCCCCCTGCTCCCTGCCCGCGCCCCTCCGCCCCGTGGCCCCGTCTGCTCATTCCGACCGACCGACCGTGCCCCTGTCCCACTGTTCCCCTTCCACCCCGCGCCCCTCCGCCCCGTGGCCTCCATCTGCATATCCGACCGGCCGTGCCCCTCCCTCTGCCCGACCGTGCCCTCACGTTCACTGCCCCCCGCCCCCCCCCGCAACTCTCCGCCCCAGCCAGCCGTGCCCCCTCCTCTGCCCGACAGTGCCCTCCAGTTTCCTTGCATCCCCCCGCACCCTTCCGCGCCGTGGCCCCCGTCTGCTTATTCCGACCGGCCGACCGTGCCCCCCCCTCTGCCCGACCGTGCCCTCCCACCCCCTGCCCCCCCGCACCCCTCCGCCCCGTGGTCCCCGTTTGCCAATTCCGACCGGCCGACTGTGCCCCTCCCCTCTGCCCGACCGTGCCCTCCTCTGCTTCCCCCCGTGCGTCCCTCCGCCCCGTGGCCCCCGTCTGTTCATTATCATACCTACCGGTGAGATCTCGCACTGCATTTTTTCAACCGACCGACCGACCGTGTCTGAGATGTGCGCTGGATTGGGATGTGTGCTGGGATGTGCGCTGGAACGTGTGCTGCCGTCATGTGCTGGGATTTGTGCAGGGCTGTGTGCTGCCTCCGCGTGCTGGGATACGTGCTGGGATGTGTGCTGGCTTCGTGTGCTGGGATACGTGCAAGAGCTTGGCCTGGGTGCGTGCCGCCCCCGTGCGCCCTGCCTGCCCCCCCCCCGCACCCCTCCGCCCAATGGCCCCCGACCGACCGACCGTGCCCCCCCCCCCCTGCCCGATCGTGCCCTCCCGTCCTCCTGCCCCTCCGCCCCGTGGCCCCCGTCTGCTTATTCCGACCGACCGACTGGCCGACCGTGCCCCCCCCTCCGCCCCGTGGCCCCAGTTTGCTTATTCCGACCGTGCCCCCGCCTCCGCCCCGTGGCCCCCGTCTGCTTATTCCGATCGACCGACCGTGCCCCCCCCATTCCCTGAGCGTGCCCTCCCGCCCTCCTGCTCCCCTCCGCCCCGTGGTACCCATCTGCTTATTCCGCCCCCTCTCCGTTCCGTGGCCCCCGTCTGCTTGTTCCGACCGATCGACCGACCGTGCCCCCCCTCCGCCCCGTGGCCCCCGTCTGCTTGTTCCGACCGACCGACCGTGCCCCCCCCTCCGCCCCGTGGCACCCGTCTGTTTATTCTGACCGACCGACCGATCGTGCCCCCCTGCCCGACCGTGCCCTCCCACCCCCCTGCTCCCCCCGCGCCCATCCGTCCCTGCATATCAGTCCGACAGATCGACCTACCGTGCCCCTCCCCTCCGCCCCGTGGCCCCCATCTGCTTATTCCGACCGACCGACCGACCGTGGCTCCCCCCTCCCGCCCCGTGGCGCCCGTGCACCCCCTGCCCTCTCCCCTCCCCCCCCTGTCCCGCACCTTCCGCTCTGTGGCCCTCCGTCTGCTTATTCCGACCGACCGACCGTGCCCCCCCGCTCCAGCCGTGCCCTCGCCCCCTCCCCCCCCGGGACCCCGGGGTGGGCCGGGGGGCCCCAGGACAACTCAAAATTGCCCCAAGACAGCCCAAATGAGCCCCAGACGGACCCGCACAAAAGCCTCAGAGACGCCCAATAGCACCACGGCCCCGAAGAGTCATAGAGATGCCACTAGCTCACTGTGACACAACAAGTTCTTCATGCCATAGCTCTGCGCGTCGCAGCACTCGCGCGCGTCCCCGAAACTACACTCGACCAGGATAGTAAGGATGCAAGGGACTTGGAACGCCATGTTGACGTTTTCCGTGCGTAGCGCAGCAGACTGCCGAAGGATGCCGACTACCGAAGGGGCTAGGATGCAAGGGTAGCCTTGGGAAGTTGCCCCATCCTTACTATCATGGTTGACTGTACCACAGGTTGGCGCCACCTCCATCTCCCAGTGTCACACATCCGTGATTGTATGATCCTTGGCACGCTTGCCTCTTGTTTACCAGGAAAAAGAATGGAGGAGGACAGATGCGACGAGCAGGAGGAGGGGGATGATGATGATGAGGAGGAGGAGGAGGAGGAGGAGGAAGATGAGGAGGAGGGGAAAGGAGGATGAACATGAGGAGGAGAAGGAGGAGGAGGAGGGAGGGCCACTCCCTGATACTTCAACTCCTCCTTCTCCTACGCCTCCTCCTTCTCCTTCTCCACCTTCTCCTCCTCCTCCTCCTCCTTCTGCTGCTCCTCCTCCTCATCCTGATGTTCCTCCCCCTCCTCCTCATCCTCCTCCTCTTCCTCCTCCTCCGTTGGGCTCTCTCTTTCTCCTCCTCCTCCTCCTCATCCTCCTCCTCCTCCTCCTCCTCCTCTTCCTCCTCCTTCTCCTCCTCCTCTTCTTCCTCCCCCTCCTTCTCCTCCATCGTCCTCATCCTCCTCCTCCTCATCTTCATTCCTTGCTTTCTTCCGCCTCTCCCTTCCCGTCCGAGCGCCTCCAGAAGCCTCCGAGGACCTCTCGAGGAGGTTGTCGTCGCGGTCGCCGCCGTCGTCTTCGTCCTCCTCGTCATTGTCGTGGTGGTCGTTGTGGTGGTGGTGGTTGTGGTCCACAGAAATGGTGGTCGTCGTCTTCGTTTTCCAGCTCTTCCCCCGTGGGGTGCCAGAGGTCGTCGTCGCGGGAGCAGGAGGGAGGATTCCGAGGAGGAGCAGGAGGAGGAAAAAGGCACGCGCTGCAAGGGGCTTCACTCTCCTAAGCCTTGACCTCGAACCTCGAGGGCCGAGGATACTTGGCGTTCCCGATATTTTCTGGACCTCTGGGCTGAGGCCTCCCAAACGGGGCCAAAGTGCATGGGGTCAGTGGGTCGCACTGCGTCGCCGATGCCTGGCTCGAGACATTGGACCTCAAGATGGCGCCAGATCGCGGATGCATCTACGCTGGCCCCATTCGGGAGGCCTGTTCTGGAGGCCTGGGACCTAGCGGGCACGTCCAGGGGGGGCAGGATCCAGGGCGGCGCTGAAACTTGCCACTCGCAGCCCCCTGGGCTCGTCGTCGTCGTCGTCGTCGTCGTCGTCGTCGTCGTCGTCCCTGCGCGATGGGGCGCTGCTGAGCTTCCCCTCGACCATCGGGCATCGAAGACCCGGGAATCTAGCGCTCGGGAGCCGTTCTGGGCCCCTGAAGGCCTCGAGGAGGCCAAGGGACGTCCGGGCGGCAGGATCTGGGCCAGCGCTGGAGCTTCCACTCCCCGCCCCGTGGGCTCGACGGAATCGTCGTCGTCGGCGGCGGTGGCGGCCGCGTCGTCGTCGTCGCCGTCGTCGCCGTCGTCGTCGTCGTCGTCGTCATCGTCGTCGTTGTCGTCGACGTCATCGTCGTCAGTGCCGCCATCGTCGTCGTCGTCGTCGTCGTCGTCGTCGTCGTCGTCGTCGTCGTCGTCGTCGTCGTCGTCAACGTCAGCGCCGTCGACGACTTTGTCGTCGTCGACATCGTCCTCGTCGCCGTCGTCGAAGTCAAAGTCGTCGTCGTCGTCGTAGTCGTCGTAGTCGTCGTCGTCGTCGTCGTAGTCGTCGTCGTCGTCGTCGTCGTCGTCGTCGTCGTCGTCGCTGTCATCGTCGTTGCTGTCGGCAAGGCCGAGGACTCGGCGAGCGCTTCCTGGGGAGGAGGAGGGAGAGGAGGAACAGGACAGGACGGCGAAGACGAAGGCGGAGACGACGACAAACGACGACGAACACGAAGACCAATGTGAAGACGACGACGGAGACCAACGACGCCGAGGCCGGCCGCGAAGACGAGAAAGGCGTAAGACACCACTTTGTTGAGTGGATCTCTCGAGCTCTCGGCCGCTTCAAGCGGTGCGCGTTCAGAGCAATTACGCAGCAAAGCCACAGGAGAGCGTGGCACGGACAATGAGTGTAGCTCTGCACACGTACGTGTCAGATGCTCCAGCGAGCAAGAACACGGCGACGCTCCAGGACAGCGAGGCATTGACAGTGCAGCTCAGCATCACCACGGCGAAGGAGGCCCTGGCCTGGGCTAAGTGAGTCAGGCGGGCCAGGCGCCAGCCGCGTGGATCTCGTCCAGGGACACCTCGGGGGCGAGCGCGATGGCCTCGCGTGGGGGAGGGGAGGGCGGCCGCGGGGGCGGCGGGGGCAGGACACGCCGTGCACACTGCGCAGCCTTGGGACGAAGGCAGGATGAACACAACAACGGATGGAGATGAGGATGAGGACGAATGCAGGATGAGGATGGGAACGACAGGCAGGATGAGGACGAAGGTAGACTGAGGATGAATCTGAGGGGAAACAGGGCTTGGGACGAAGGCAGGATGAGGATGAGGACGAAGGCAGGGCGAGGACACGTTCTAGAGGAACAGAAAACTGCATGAACATAAACTCCTGGAGCTCTGCGCGGATTTCTTGGATCGGCGTTGGGCCCCCCTGTGTGGCGCGCACGAAGCGTACCAGGGGCGGCGCTGCAGGCGCCGCCAGGGGGGGCAAACGCCAATCCAAGAAATCCGCGCGGAGCTCCAACAGTTTATGGTTATGCTGGTTTGTGTCCCTCGAAGTTCGGATGAGGATGACCTGTGGCTGCAGATCGGGGGTTGCTCAAGGTGCCCCTGGCCCAAAGGTGCCCCCAACTTTTCGATCCATTTTGGAGCCCCTTGGTCCCCTGGGCCTCGTGAGGAGTGCTCTGGAGGCCGCTGGGGCCTTCTTTGGAAATCCTGGGGGCACCTTGGCACAGGTGCACTTCTAGCAACACCGAGGCAGAGCCGTCCCAGCCCTCAGTGGGGAGACCTTCGCCTCGGCGGCCAACCTGACCCCCCCCCACAACTAGGGTCGGGACGGGTGCCGTCCCCTTTCCAGGCTTTATGGCACCCGTATGCCCACCCAGAGGGTAACTACGCCGAGAGAGCCAACTTGCCCTGCTTCGGTGGTGGTGGCGATGGCTCTGGCGACGATGCGGCAACCGGGGGCCTCAGAGACGCTGCGGGTCTGGAAAATGTATCGGGCACCGCGGGCGTTCCAGAGAGCGCAGGGGCGCTCTGAGAGCGCTCCATAACGCCCTGGAGCCCTGGCTTGCCTAAGGCCTGGTCCCTCTGGTGTCGCGGTGGACAGCCGCCAGCCAGTCTGCGACATATTACAGCAAGTGCGTTCACACAGACAGGAGAACAGCACGTTACAGCGAGAGCAGCCACCCAATGGGGCACTGGAGGTGCAGGACGTGCGTTCACATGCGTGGAATAGCTTTGCGGGCTACTCTTTCGATCTTACTCTCGTGGGCAGCGGGAATTGCGCCAGCGAGTCGGTCCGAAGGGGGCCAAAGACGAGAGAGAAGACAAATGAATGAGGATCCAGGATCGAGGCTCGAGGACCGATGCTTTGAACGCTTGTTTTCGCTCTCTTCGGACCCCTGGGAGGCTTCTTGTCGCCACGGCTGGATTCCTCTCGAAATCCTCGCCAACGCGCAATCCAGGAGATGCACAGGGGAGGAGGAGAAGGAGGAGGAGGACAAGGAGGAGGAGGAGGAGGAGGAGGAAGAGGAGGAGCAGGAGGAGGAGGGGGAAGAACAGGAGGAAGGAGGAAGAGGAGAAGGAGGAGGAAGAGGAGGGAGAGGAGGAAAAAGGAGGAGGAAGAGGATGATGGTGATCCACATTCATTCAGGATCGCAGTTGGGTGCAAGGACTGGCCCTCATTGGTAGAACCCCTGGGCATGGCTGAACGAATGCGGGCAGCAGTGCGGCGGAGGAGAAAGAGGGCGGGAGAGGAGTAGCAGTGACGAGAAGTGGGGAGAAGGATGGTGATGAGGATGGTGATGGTGATGGTGACGCTGATGATGCTGAGGATGATGATGGTGGTGAGGAGGAGGAGGAGGAGGAGCACATTTATGAGGGTGGAAGAGTCAGCATGAGGTCGGTATTTCCCCACCTACTTCTCAGACGCCACGCGCTGGCCGGTTTCGGGCGACGACGCGGGCAGCTCGTCGGCAGCGCGGGAGATCCGTCGCGGCCCGCGCGGCTAGGGCGCAGTCAAAACTGGTGTTGCCAGAAACCACCTCGGACAAACCGCTGGTTCTGACCAGATGCAAGTGCCTATGGAGGTGGCGCCGCACCACCAAAAAACAAGCCGCGTCCTTGCAGTGGCCAACGAGGGCTAGCAGGGCTAAAATGTTCGATGGGGGCAAAGCATCCAGAGGCCTAGACCAGGAGGTCATCGAATCTGAGACAGCAAATGTAATGGCACAGAGAAGGACGAGGAGGAGGAGGAGGAGGTTTTGCTGCGAGAGCCCGCCTGGCAGATCCCTGCCACAGCCAGCCTTCAGTCCAGGCGGCGGATGGGGGGCACACTGCTGAGGTGCCTCACCCCTCCCCGCCAGAAACCTCTGCACGAGAGAAAGTGCGGGTCAGAGCGCTCGCTCCCAGAAGGCGTCGCATTCCCAAGGGAGCAGGGAACGGGGCGCCTCCTCGAGAGCGAGCTGCACTCGGTAAGGATGCCTTTCCCGGGCCAGGAGCGAGAAGCGGTACGCTGCCGTCGGGTTTGCGGGAGACCTCCTGCAGGCGACGCCAAGCTTGCACCTTCTCTCGTTCGTGAAGACCCCGCAGCGGGCGCAGCACGTGTACTGGCCTACACGATGGAGCTCATGCCCCAAGGCCTCGCCGCGGCGTGCGGCTGGAATCTTGAACTCCTCCTCCCCCTCAGGGACGACCAACGACGGTCGACACGACGCCTCCCCCCACAAGGCCTGCGTGCCAGAGCGCGCCAAGCGCGCATGGCGCGTGCGTAGCGGCAGCACACGGTGCAACGCCACGCGCCACGTGCTTTGAGGAGGGAGTGAGGGGTGGAGCCAGGCGGGAGTCGAGAGCGACGGGGTCGAGCAACTGTGGCAGGTCTCCCAGGTCTCCCAGTGGAACCACCAAGCTCCCCCACGGACGCCGTCATCCCAGCCACCAGCCCGAACACCCCCTGGACCGCGGCCGCTCGGGAGGTCCAGGTGGCACTGTGGCACTCATCCACTGGGGGGCCGCCTGCAAATCAGCGCCTGCCTTAGCTTCAGCGTCGGCAAGCTGGTTCCGTTGGAAATCCAGAAACGCGTCGTGCGACTCGTCGGCTGGGCCTCTGGAGTGGGCCCGAAACTTCGCGAATGAGAAGGAGACGTGGTCTGCAAAGCGTTTCCTTAGGAGACACCACGCTCTAGTCCACAAATTGGCGAGCGGGCGAGAGGCTCGGCAGCACCACTTCCGGCCTCTGCGCAGGCCTCTGATGACAATAGCATGGTCTATGCCGACACAGAGACAGAGTGGAGGGGTGGCAATTTGCATGAGGCCGGAAATCTCAGCCCTCAAAACGATGCCCAAGACACGCGGGCCAGGAAGTGAGCCATGCATGGCCCTGATAACCGAACCGTCATCGTCCAAAAAGACATACCCAACCCGTAGCTTTTTAGCCCTGGCGGCCCCCATCCCGAGCCGTCTGGGTAGGCGCGGCCGTGGCAGATTGGGAGGTTTATCTACGGGCCCCGCTCTTCTTTGGCTGGGACAAGATATGAAAAAAGGGTCCTCCAGGGGATGTTCCACCATGCCACGGGAGAAGAGGAGAGACTCAGGCCCTGAGGACTCGAGACGACGCACGATCCCCTGGAGTCCCCGCTCGGCGGCAACCTGGTGGCGCATAGCGTGGTGCCTTGGGCACTTAGCAAAGCGATGATGCTGGCATCCTACGTCCGCAGCACACTGTTGGCATGTGCGGTCGTCGGTGTACCCTGCACGCCACACTTTGTCCTGAGTCCAAAAATTTCGGCCCACATGGGCCAGGGCGGCCGACCGCCTCGGGGGGGGGGGGGGGGCGAAATCCCTTGGACCGAAGCAACGCGCGAATGGGTTCCAGAAACGGCCTGGAGATTCCCAAACCTCGAACTTCAGCCCAGGAGGTAAGCTCCAGAAACTCGATCCTGGCAGAAACAAGGGCCTTTACAGCGCAGGGTGCCAACCGACGAAGATCCCAGAGCCCCCCGAGGTGGTCACAAAGTGTGGCATCGGAGGGCCAACTCCACTCGAGCCGACGGAGCGTGGCGAGGACCGCGGAAGCGGGTCCCTCGACCCTGCGCCACAGGCTCTGGCCTGGCTGGGCCTGGGCAGCCGCGATCGAAGCCCTTCGCCAGGCTGTCCGCGTCAACACCTCCTGGCGGCCTTCCCACACCGCCTTGGCCCAATGCAAAAGGGGGTGCGCACAGGCGTCCACCAAGGGGTCTGACTTGAAGGTCCACAGGCGCAGGACTCGAGCCTTCCCTATCGATTGCCCCCCCCCAGCGCGCTGGCCATTAGAATGCGAGCCTGGTTCACTCGAGTGGGGTCCATTCCCAAGCACGACGCACCATACCACACAGACGGCATGAACCCCATTCGAGCGACATTGTACGGACGAGCCCCTTGATTTGGCCAGGCTAGTGAGTTTGGAGGAGGAGGATGAAGAGGAGGAGGAGGAGGAGGCAGAGGGATAGGAAAATATGGGACGGGGCGCCTTCCCGCTGTGGGTGCGGCGATCACCCTCCTGTCCAAGGAACTACCTCGCTCAGGACGGCACATCGTGCCCAGCCTTGCGACTGTACCTCCCATGCCCGTGGCCCAGCGGACTTAGCACCAGCGTATATATCTTCGTGGAATGACAGCGTATGCAACGTGAATGCCTGTGGGGGCCTTGCGACACGGGGAGGCCAACCGTCTTGACATGCGAACTTGTGTGGTGGGTCGGGTCAGGTATTTGAAGTATCCGCTGCCATTGGGAACCGATCCCAAGGCGCGCTCAAATCTCATCCTTGTCCTCCGTCTCTGCTTCGGGAAGTCACCGCGAGTTCCCCGCAAAACAGGCGCGGTGACCGAAACCACAACCACGGCCCCTTGGAACCTGAACACCCCCCCTCGTGTGGCCAGACTATGTAGCCAAGCGGGGGCCTTCCAGACGACAAAGACTTCATGATGCGAGCTCCCCACGCCCCCCGTGGCCCTGGGATCGAACAACTTTGCGAGCCTCTCGAGCGGGCCCCGCTACCCCCACAGACTTTGCGCCACGACGCACTCCTGTACGCATTGATGCGATAGGACGGGTGGAAACTGAGCGACCTGCCGATTCACGCCCCTCCCAACCACCCAGGCACGTCCCGCCCCGTCGCCCTCCCCCCCCCAGTCCTGGCTCCTCCTCCTCCTCCTCAATTTCCGCCTCCTTCTCCTCATCCTCCTCCTCTCCGCCTCCTGCCCCGCCCGCCCGCTCCTGCTGCTACTTACGCTCCCGCTCGCGTTCCTGATCTGGCCTTTGCGGGGAGCTCCGAAGCCAACGCCAGAAGCCGAGCGTCTCCTCATGCCCTCATGAGTGCTGCTGCTCCGTCCTCCTCCTCCTCCTCCTCCTCCTCCTCCTCCTCATCCTCCTCCTCCTGAGGATGAGGGGCAAGGGAAGAATGGCGAGGAACGACGACGAAGATGATGATGGTGATGATAATGCTGATGATGTTGATGATGTTGATGATGAAGGTGATGATGGTGATGGTGATGAACATGCTGACGACGACGATGCTAATACACTATGATGCGGATGATGATGGTGAGGCTGACGATGATGATGATGCTCACGATGGTGTCGGCGGTGATGGCGATGATGGTAATCATGGTGATGATGCGGTTGATGATGATGAATCGTAGACTAGCGGTGATGCTGGTGATACACATGGCTGCGGTGATCATGATGCTGATGATGGTACTGATGATGATGATGGTGGTTATGATGCTGATGATGATGATGATGATGATGATGATGATGATGATGATGAGGCTGGTGGCCATGATGGTGATGATGATGCTGGTAATGATGATGGTGCCGGTGATGGTGATGATGCTGCTGCTGATGATACTGGTGATGATGCTGCTGGTGGTGGTACTGATGAAGGGGACGATAAGGATGTTGGTGATGGTGAGAATGCTGATGCTGATGGGGATGATGATGCGGCTGCTCGTGATCATCCTCACGATGATAACGACGATGATGCAGATGCTGCTGAGGATTATACTGATGATGATGGTGATGATGATAATGATGATGATGATGCTGCTGATGACGATGACGATGACGATGATGATGCTGGTGATGTTGATGCTGATGATGGTGATGATGCTGATCAGGATGATGTTGATGCTGTTGCTGATGACGATGATGACGAGGATGGTCACGAGTCTGATGCTGCTGCTGATGGTGATGATGTTCTATGATGCTGATGTTGTTGATGATGATGCTGATGTTGTTGTTGATGATGATGATGATGATGATGATGATGGTGGCGACGACGATGATGCTGACGACGACAAATATGACTGTGCATATAATGCTGATGCTGATGCAGGAGGAGCCGAGAGCATGACACCAGGATGGTACTGAGGAGGAGAAGGACGGACCCCTTCCCGCAGTTCGGCCAGGGTTGACACAGCAAATGGCGGATGCGGAGACCGCGCGCAATGCTGGCGCCTCCGCCATGGCGTCGAGGTCCCGGGTGGAAAGCTCCAGCATCAGCAGGAACGTCCCCACCTGACGGCAACTGGCCATGGTCCTCTTTCATCGCCTCCATCGCCTCCCTCCTGGTCCTCCCCTTCCATTTTCCTCTTCCTCCTCCGCACTCCCTCTCCGCCTCCTCCTGCTCCTGTATAGAGCTTGGGAATGTTAGGCTACCCTAGGCACTACCCTAGGCCATAGGGTGGCCGAGAGTAGAGGCCTTAGGATGGGCCCTAGGGGTAGGCCTGGGATAGGCCTATGGCAGGCCTAGGGGTAGGCCTAGGATAGGCCTGGGGGTAGACCCTAGGGGTAGGCCGAGGGGTAGGCAGGTGTAGGCCAGAAGGGGTAGGCCGGTAGGGGTAGGCAAGTCCCTCAGATCTGGTCGGGTCGAACGGGCGGCGACACTGAAGTATGATGGGGTCGGGCGGGTAAGACGCTGGAGTGCATGCATCTTCGTGTTGGCACGCGTGCAGGGCCGAACCAGAGGGCGACGACGAAGACAACGACCTCGACCACGACCACGACGACTCTACTCCAAGAAGGCCCCCGAACCCCCCCAGGAGCTGAACAGCCCCAGTTTCCAGAGCCGAGCCCGTACATGGCCACGAGGCTGGCCCGCCGAGGAGCCCCGAGCCCCCTGGGGCCCCCTCGGGGCGGCGCCGGCTGCGGCGGCAGCGGCTTGAGAGAGAGAGCGGCGGCGGCGTCCAGGATGGCTCCGTCCCTCCTCCCTCCTCCCTCCTCCCTTCACCCTTTCACCCTCCTCCCTCCTCCCTCCTCCCTCCTTTCTCCTCCCTCCTCCCTTCTCTCTCCTCCCTCCTCCTCCTCCTCCTCCTCCTCCTCCTCCTCCTCCTTCACCTCCCCTTCCTCCTCCCTCCTCCCTCCTCCCTCTTCCTCCTCCTCGTCCTCCTCCTCCTTCTCCTCCTCCTCCTCCTCCTCCTCCTCTTCCTCCTCCTCCTCCTCCTCCTCCTCCTCCTCCTCCTCCCTCTCCTCCTCCCCCTCCCTTTTGGTTTCCCCGACTTTGCAACGCGCGCGTAATGTCCTGTTCCTCCGCCCTCCCTCTCTTCCTCCTCTCTCCTGGTCGGGGTCGGAGGCCCTCGGGGCAGGATCGGCAGGATCGGGGCCCCTCGGGGCGGGTCGGGGCCCTGGGGGCGGATCGGGTCCTTCGTGGTGGGTCGGACCGGCTCGGGGCAGGCCGGGGCCCCTCGGGGCGGGTCGGGGCCCCTCGGGGCGGGTCGGGGCTTCTCGGAACCCTTCGGGGCGGGTTGGCCAGAAACCTAAACGAATCGAAGTTCGGAAATCGAACCCCGGCGTCGGAAATCCAACCCTGGCGGGAGAGAGCCCTGACCTTCTCGAGGCCTACCTCCCTCCAGAACCGGACGCCACCAGGACCCTCGGAGCCCCTCTCCCCCCGACTGGTTCTCCTACGCAGCATCGCTCCATCACGGGCGGCTGGGCGGGGCACTGAAGTATGGAAAAGTCTGCTGCGTTGTTGGGCTGGCACGCGGGAGCCCCGACGGCAGGGCCTGGTCGAGCGGGCCAGGCCCTCACGGGCGGGTCGGGTCGGGCGGGCGGGACATGAAAGTATTGGCTTCAAGAATGCTGCATCGGCGGGCTGGCACGCGAGAGCCCCAACGAGCGAGACCCCTCTCCGCTAGGAGGCCGAGGCCCGACAACGACGACGACGCAATGCAGAGCCAAGCAACGCCTAGACGACGGGCGGCGACGAGGCGGCGAAGGGGCGGCGACGACGACAACAAGGCGGCGGACCCGACACCGAGCCTCAAGGCCACGGAGGGAATGTAAAAAGAGCGAGGGAAGGAGTCGAGAGGTCCGGGGCGCCTCTCGGCGCCCGACAACGACGACGACGACCCCGACGACGACGACGACGACGACGACGACGACGACGACGACGACGACGACGACGACGACGACAGCAACAGCGACGACGACGCCAGTGGCGGCGCAATCGCGAGTCGTATGCTCCTCATCGAGTCGGCTCGATTCGGCAAGCACCGAAATCGTTTCGAATTCGAACTAGCGGAGCTAGAGGGGACCCCTCAAAAGGCTGGTATCGAAATGCATCGTCGCGGAACCGACGGCATGACGAAACGGCGACGAGTGCAACGAGTGCGACGGGGAAGGCGACGAGTACGGCGACGAGTGCGACGACGAAGGCCCCGGTCCGGTCCAGGAGGCCCTCGCGACAGTTTACGAGACCTCCGACACCTAGGGTAGGCCCTAAGGGTAGGCCCTAAGGGGGAGGCCTAGGGTAGAGGCCTAGGGATGGGCCCTCCCTCCCACCCTCCTATTTCTCGTCCTCGTCCTCGTCCTCCTCCCTGGGCCCGCAAGGGGAAAGCCGAAAACCAGAGGAACACCGAGCCCCTTCAAAACGCCAAGCGGTCCTCACGTCGACGCACCACTGTGTGAGAAAAGGGTGCGCGTGTGTGTGTGTGTGTGTGTGTGTGTGTGTGTGTGTGTGTGTGCGTGTGTGCGTGTGTGTGTGTGTGTGTGTCTGTCTGGGAGGAGCGTGAGGGAGGGGGAGAGAAGCAGAACGAACGAACGACTCGGCAGAGGCGTGTCAGCTGGGCTATCTCGCCCACAGCTCGCACACTAACTCGATTCGACATGACGCCGTGGCAAGGAGGCTCCAAGGCACGACTGGCACCAGATGCACGAGAGCTCCAACCACGGCTGGACGGCCAAACACTTTCGCGGTCGCAAGGCCGGGGAAACACCGTGGGGGCGGAGAGGGAGGACGACCGACACACTACAGGGGAAGGCGTGACCGAGAGGCCACAGGGCGAGAAACGGCGGCACGGTCGAGGCCTGGTACTGGTCGTCGAGGCTCCCAGAGGGGCCAGGGGGGGGAGGGACGCCCGGCAGACGTCAGGGGAAGAAAGGACCGAGAGGCCGAGGCGCCCCCGCCCAGACGACCCAAAACAGGACACCGACCGCCCACCTCGGTGCATCGGTGAACCAAAGGGGGGCCGTGTACACCGAGTGGGGGCGGGCGAGGGGCGATGTACTATTGATGCCAGTTTTTTCCCGGGGGGGGGGAAGGAAGAAGAGGCGGAAGAGGAGGAGGAGGCGGACCAGAGTAGACTCAGGCTGTATCAGCGGTGCTGCTACACACCCTCGCGTCCCTAGCTCTTTCCTCGTAAATCTCTACGCGCCTTCATTTGCACTACAAGCGCCCCCCTGACAAAAGAGCACGCTAAGGGGCCTGTCGCTGAGGCGAGAGCCTCTTGTTGTAGAGGGCCTGTCCTGCTTTCATCCAGCAAATTACGAGAAATACGACACTTTATGATCATGAAATTCAGCGAAATGTCCAGCGACAACCCCTTTTGAAAATGAACCGCCCCCACCCCCGTCCGTGTTACCGGCGCACATGTCTACACCTTGGGCAATGAAATCGCACCAGCCCGTTAGAGCGTAGGTTGTTCAGCGGGCTCGTTTTTTAATCTAACAGCGAAGACTGATAGGTTTCTAGTGGTCTCAAAAGAGAGCATCATGACTCCCCAGGGGATTCCGGGCAGGATCCGGGGAGAATCCGCGGATCCGCCAATGACTATGGGGAACGCACCACTGAGGCTGAGGCTGAGGCCCCCAGCGCCGCCAGTGACTATGGGGAACGCACCACTGAGGCTGACGCTGCGGCCCCCAGCGCCGCCAGTGACTATGGGGAACGCACCACTGAGGCTGAAGCTGAGGCCCCCAGCGCCGCCAATGACTATGGGGAACGCACCACTGAGGCTGATGCTGCGGCCCCCAGCGCCGCCAGTGACCATGGGGAATCCACCGCTGAAGCTGAGGCTGAGGCTGAGGCTGAGGCTGAGGCAGGCTGAGGCTGAGGCTGAGGCAGGCTGAGGCTGAGGCAGGCTGCGGCTGAGGCTGCGACTGCGACTGCCGTTGCCGCTGCAACTGCCATTGCGATTGCGACTGCGATTACACCAGAATTCTACAACAGGACTCCTACATGAATCTCAAAGCAATGCTTCCAGATATGCTTCCACACATCGCTGTTAGGTTGCTTTGCCGGGATAATTTGTCCAACCTCCCTCTTCCCCTTCGGAGAGATGTTGATCACTGTTCCCTATTAATAAACACCCCCTCCCCCAGGCGAATGGAAGCCAACCTGGAACAATGCGGGCACCCCCCCCACTATCCCTTGTAACAAACCATACAAAACACACTTTGCCTCCAAATTCGGAGCATGCGCAGCCAACCCGATGCGGCCTCCCCCCACCATCCGTCAACAAAAACCATACAGAGAGTAGACTCGGCGGCGGCGGCGGCGGGTGCGGCGGTGGCGGCGGCGGCGGCGGTGGCGGCGGCGGCGGCGGCGATGGCGGCGGCTGCGGCGGCGGCGGTGGCGGCAGCGGCTGCGGCGGCAGCGGCGGCGGCGGCGGCGATTTGGCAGCGGGGGCGGCGGCGACGGCGGCGGATTGGCCCCCAATAGCTGCCCATCCAAAGACGACTGCTGAATATGCTGAGGCTCGGGCCAGACTCGGGTGCTATGTATGTGTTGGGAGGGCGGGTGGGAGTGAGCGAGACGGCTTGCGGGCGGGGAGGGAGTCTTGACCTCTGCCCCCCCCTTCTCCCTGGATGGACAATTTCCCCCCCCCCCCCCCCCCCAGAGGCTCCAATACATTCCCAACACGGCTCCACGTGGCCACGGAGCTTCTCAAGGACCCCCTGAAAGGCCCAGGTGCTTTCACCATCAATGAAGTCTGTCTTCTCGCCGTTTCGCTTCCCATCGGCTTCAATACTGTATGTCCCAAGAGAGCCCCAAGAGGGGCCCCATGAGGGCCACAGTATGGCCGCAAGAGCGCCCAATCATGCCCCAGGAGGGCTCCAAGAGGCGATTTTCGGAATCTGGCAGGGGGACTGACATTCGGAACCTCGTTTCTCTTTCGCCGGTGGCCTCCGAGGTGGCCCTCTGGGCCCCCAAGGGGGCCCCACGAGGACCCCGAAGGAACCCCAAAGCCTCTTAAAATGGACCCAGGAGGGTCCAAATGTAAGCTGCCATATGAGCTTCCATGTCGAAAGACTCGCGAAGGCATTTGTGGTGATTCTGGGCTTACTCAGGCTGATCCCGATTTTCGATCTGACGGCTCCCCACCTCCTTTTTCCAATGTTTCTTCCGACGTTTCTCTCATCAGTGCAACTCGCGTGGGCTTCGTTTCTGGATGGGCTGGTGGGGATAAGCGAAAGGTCAATCACCTGAGGGAGTCTCACAGTTTGAAAAGAAATCGGCTTACGCTCATGCTTATGGTGCAAATTTACGCTCGTGGTGTTTTGTGGAGGAAAGCTCGAGTGATACCCACATTTTGAAAACCACCTGGCCCCCAGCCGCGTAACAGTTGCAAGCTTTCTTTTATACGAGCGTGCGCATCTCTATGGCGGGAACCCCATTTCGAAAAAGAACCGATTTCCATCCGTGTAACGGTTGGACTGTTTGAAATTTATGCTCGTGAATTGCAATGAAGTCTGAAGAGCAACGCCCAGGCCGGCCTACGGACACGTCTGGTGCCGCGACAGGGGGGAGTCTCCCAGAAGGGAAAAGGGTGAAGGAGGACGATGCGGAAGGAGGAACGAGGAGGAGAAAGGAGAAAAGACACAATAAGGGTAAGGACCGTTTGGGGTCGCTGTTCCATCTGCTTGACATCGAAATGGAACCCTGGAGAAGGATATGGCTGCCAGCCCGTTGCCTGGTCAGGTCGGCCGGCCTGCTAGGGTGCCGCTGCCCTTGCCGAGCTGCAGCGGGCGCAGTTCGGCACCCGCGCCTCGCCCAAGGCCGTCCGCGCCGAGGCGCGGAGGCCACCAACACGAAGCCTGAGCGCCAGATGCGGCAGAGGGGAACACTCCGATCGTCGCCAAGCTTTGCTCCTTGATGGCCGCCGTGGACGGCGGCATGAACGTCACGCAGACCCAGGTTGTTCCGAAGCTCTGGGGGGCCATCTCGACCTTCACTTCCTGGACGCGGCCGTCGGTGCTGGATGAGGCGCCCGCGGCGGCCTTGGAAAAGGGTTCACCCCAGATCAAAGCCCGCCTCTACCCCGAGCCGTGGGGGCAGGCCAAGATCCTCACGCTCGACGCGGTCCAGCCTACCCTTAAGCAGTCCACCGAGCCCCTGGTGATCCTGGCGGCCAATCGCGCAGAGAAATTACGAGCAGTGCGAGCGCGTGCGAAAGGCCATCGGGCACCGCCAGAACGTCACCTACGTAGTCCTGGACAGCAACGGGCCCGACGCGGTCCTCTTGGAGGGCCAGCGGGGCCCCTGCAAGGCCATCAACCTCAGCGAGTCCGCGCCGAAGCGCCCCCGGCTCCACGCCTCCATGCAGGACGACGAGCCCGTCGTCACCACCAAGCAGAATCTGGCCCATGCCCAGACCACGCTCTCCACAGAGTTCGCCGAGGAGTCCCTCTTCCACATGGCCTCCGCGAAGCCTCAGACCACCCCCGCCCTCGTCCTCGGTGTGGACCTCACGGAGCGCGTGCTGCGCACTCGCGGGGCCTTCGCCTACGACGTAGAAGTCACGTGCATCGCCTCGACGACCGAGGCCAACACCGACGCCTTCTGGAAGGCCAGGCCCCCGAGAGCAACAAGGCGCCGCCATCGACCCGCGGTGGCTCTCCTGGAGACTTGACGAGGAGGACGCGGACGGCGCCAAGAAGTACTATAACGGTGTCCGCCAGCTCGTGCAGCAGCGAAACGGACGTCTACTGTGTCGCCCCAATGGGGAAGCTCAAGTAGGCGTTGCGGGCGCCGCTGGGATCAACCCTGGCGAGGCTGACGCCATTGAGTGGCACGTGCGCGATGCGCCCAGAAATGCGTCGCCTGGATCACCGAGCGCGGTTTCAAGAACGTCACCGACGCTGTCCTGGCAGGCGCCCGAGAGTGGACCTTCTCCAGGAACACGCCTGCGTGCGTGGTTGCCACGGTCCACACTTTCAAGTCTGGGGCCATCGTGTCTCGGGCGATCTCGAAGACCGGTGCCTCCGCCAAGGCCGCCCGCCAGGTGACCAGCATGGATGCCCGCCAACGCTGTGGGGCCCCGAGGCCCGCGCTTCAGTTCGCCGCCACGGCCGACGCCTCACCTGCCGACAACGACGTTCCCATGGCCTCCGAGAGCGGCCAGGGCGCCGTCGCCGCTGCATACGCCGAGGCTGCGCGCGGGGCTCGGAAAGCCGCGGCCGCCCCACCCTTCCCGAAGTACTTCAACGTCGGGGCCTGCGGGGGCCAGGGCGACTGCATGCACATCGCTGCCGCGCAAGTGCTGGCTGGCCTCGCGCCGTCCAAGACCGCGCCGGCGGCCGGCTCCGAAGCAACCTCCGCGCCTCGCCGCGCAGACGCAGGCCCTCGAGCACAAGGTCCAGGAGACGCCGGACGACGAGGACAACCACTGCGAGCGGCTGCAACCGAAGCCCGAGCACACTGAGACGTCAGAGAAAATTACCGCCAAAGCATCGAGTGCTGGCGTGGCGAGGCCCTCGGCTACCCGAGCGTCGGCCTCCGGGGGAAGAGCCGCTCGCTCGACCCCGCAGCCATGTCCATCCTGGGCATCCCGGCCCCCTCCCGCAGGGCCGCCTCGAGCCGTGCGCCCGGGCCCCGCCTCGACCCCGAGGCCAAGTCCATCCTGGGCCTCCCAGCCCCCTCTAGCACGGCTGCCGCCAGCTGTGCCCCCGAGCGCCGCCCCGCGGCAGCCTCCTCCAGGGGCGTCCGCAGCATCCTCGGCATCGACTCCGACGCCTCCGATGCCGTCGAGGCACCCGCACCATAGACCAAGTACCAAAGGCGACGACCCCAAGTGCCCCCGTGGGCAGTGGACGCCGCCCACGACGCCCCCGCACCTTTCAAGGGCTAAAGCCTCGGCCTGGCAGTATCAGAGGGCCACCGTCCACTGGCAGGAGTGCCAAGGTACTCCACCCTCCTGGCTGAAGGACCAGCGCGGCGGCGCCGCTCGCAGCAGCATCCAAGCCAGCACCTGGGCCCGGTCCGCCTTCCGCGTGGCCCGCCGTGCCAAGCCCTTCAAAGCTAACGTGGACTGAAGGCGACCCTCCTGGAGGACGCCCCGCCCGGCGCGTGCGGCCCTGACGAGCATGCGATTGTCTTCGAGGCCCTCCACGGCGGCAGCATCCAGTGCCACTACACGTGCCCCGAGTACACTAAGACCGCCAACCTGACCCAATTCAGGAATTACCCGTGCCGGGACCGGCCCGCCACCATGACGCGCTCGACCATGCTGGCGGCCACGCGCGGGGAGCTGAAGCGGCGCGGCAAGCGCTTCGCCCAGACGTACGGCGAGAGGCGGAAGAAGCTCTACAAGGTCCGCTTCGCCGACCCAGAGCAGTGCAAAACCAATCCGGGGAAGGACAGGACCCGCAGGCAGAAGTACCATTCCAACCCCAAGGTGCAGAAGCGGGTGGCCCTCCAGAAGCACCAGAGCTAAGTCCGCCGCAAGGCCACCAAGCTCGCCAAGAAACGACAGGTCGCGCCCTGCTGAAGGCGCCCACCCGCCGTAGACCCCCTGCACGGCGGGGGTGGGGCCTGAAGGGGGGGGCTGAGCTGCAAGTCGCCATTCTCAACGTCACGAGCCTCCGCGAGGACCGCTGGGAGGGAGTCTAGATTTTTCCTGCAATTCGTAACGCATGGGTTTGATTGCTTGAGGAGGTCCGCCCGGCCTGTTCCAAGGCTGCGTGGGTCACCGGCATTGCCCTGAAGTATGGCTGGGGCGTGGTCTGCTCATCGCCACCGCCCCGGAAGGCCATGCGCGCCGTCCAGCAAGGCGGCGCGGCTATTTTGTTTTGGGCGCCCTTCGCTTGGGCGCGTTGCTGTTCATCGAGCCGCTTCTCATCCTGAAATGTCTATCCGTACGCGACTGGGAGTCTTCACATCTGGGTGCGGGCCGGCTGCCGTGCGCTCCGACCCTTGCTGCGCTCTTCTGGGACGTCTACTGTAGCCCGTGGTACTCCGCTGGTGCCGCATTGCGTCGCAAGAAACCTTACTTGGCACCCCTCGCACGCAAACGTTTTGCCCGATCAAGCCTTCCTGCGCCCAGCGACCAAGCCCACCACCTTGGCGGGGGCGTCCCCTACGAGGGCTGTGAGGACTGGCATGGAGCTCAAGCTGGAGGACGTCCTCCTTCTCCCACCCACCCCGTTCCACGGTCTAGTGCTCTTCCACGCCAAGCGGCGCACCACGCGGTTCAAGCTCGACACGTGCAGCGCCCCGCTGCCGAGCGACGTCGAGGAGCTGCAGAGCAAGATCGACGCCACCCCCCCGTCTGCGAGGCCACCGCGCCCCTGCTTGAGAGATGGGCGCGGTGGCATGCCCGGGCCGAGGGCGCACTGGCGGCGGCTGGCGGGCGCGGGTGGCCGCTGCGAGACGGCGCGGCCGAGCGGCCGAAGGGTTCACTTCCCACCTCGCGCAAGGCCTTCCGAGCCGATGGAGCCAATCCGCCTCAAACGTCTTGGTCGGCGACAGGCGCGCCAGCTCCGCGACCATGCGCGCGAGCTCCTGTCCGGCCCCATCCTGGACCAATAACGTCGACAACGCCCTCCGCGGCTGCCTGACCGCCGGCCCCGCTGGCTCAAGCCTGCAAGGCTGTCTCGGTGATCCAGCGGGACCTTATGAAGGAGCGCCGCGCGGAGCGGCGGCGCTTCTTAGTTCCAGCGATATGATCCAGACGCGTGGCGCGCTGCCACGGCAGACATCCAATGCCCCTCGGAGTGCCCTGGCTTTGACGTCGCGGACATGTCCAAGAAGCGGGAGAAGGTGCGGGCCCCCTCGGGCCCCAACGACGACGAGCCGCATGCGCAGCCCGGCGGGTGCAATACGCCTCGGTGGCACGAGCTCCTCTGCCGAAGTCCGTTTACGAGTACCACGAGAACTGGTACTCACCGTACTCACCCTGCGCCAAGTTCCAGGCCGCCGTCCGCAAGGCCAAGGGCAGTGCGGGTTACGACAGACGGCACTCGAGCGAGCTGGAGATGATTTCAGAGCACTTCGAATTCCTCTTGTTCGACCTCTACACGCTGTGGCGCGACACCTGCGAAACCCTCCTGGTCGAGCGCCCTTCCTTCGAGCTCCAGCACCTCCTCTTCACGTGGCGCGTCGTGGGGGCGCCTAAAGGATCCCGCGCAATGTCGTTCCATCGGGGTGGGCTCAATGCTACTCTGGGCCTGGCTCACAGCCTGCGAGACGAGCCTCCCCACGCCGCAGGACGCCCAATTCGCATGCAAACCCGGCTCCACGGTGGTGCACGCCTGCTGCCTTTGGCCGCACGCCTGCCAGCACGGCAAGTGCGGATTGGAACGCGACCTGTCCAAGTGCTACGACAACGTGCCGCATCCTGTAGCAAACGCGGCGCTGCGCAGCGCCCACACGCCGCGCCGTGACCGAGCTGTGGCCAACGCTGCATGGCGGGGCCCGTGGGCGTGCCGTTTGGTGGGAGAGCTGGCTGGGGAGACCCTGTGGCCCACGCGCAGCCCTGCGCAAGGTGACAACACCGCCCCAACGGTGCTATGATGACCGGTCCGCCGCGTTCGACTCTCTCCCGCAGATGGAGGCGGAAGTGTATACACCGACGACTTCGACTCAGGCACGGGCGTCATCGAGAACGACGGGAAGCGCCAGGCTGGAAACGGGGCGATAAGACGCAGATCGAGGACACCCGAATCCTCGCCGTGCCCGACGGCACGGGCTGGGACAAGCTCCGCAAGTGCCGGGCAACCATTCGCCGCCTCCCTGGAGGAAGCGGGTCCCTGGCCACGGCCGTGCTGGCCTTCGCGAAACCAGTACGGACGTGGTGTTCACCAGTCTTCTTTCTGTCACCACCCGACGTCGTCCATGCTACGATTTCGGCGGTGCTCCCGACGAAGTGCACACTGTGGTGCCGGGGGCGCTTCTGTGCCTCTGACACTGACCTGCACCCCATCTACAGCGCTGTCCTCGTGGTCGTGTTCATCGACCGCATCACCTAGTGGGACACCCAGTGGAACGATTTCCTGGAGGTGGACTTTATGGCATTTGTCGAAGAAATATTCCTCGAGTTCTTGCAATACGATTCTGGGCGCGGCGTCCAATTCCGACGCCATGCTGACGAGCTGGATGCACTTGTACGACGCTTATGTGGGCGAAAACACATTGTTTGGAGGGACGAGGAGATGATGCCGCACATAATCCGCCTGCATGCCTGGCGAGAGCATTGGCCCATACCAGCGCCGAGCGCAACGACGCTGAGGGGGTTGACCAGATCGATCTCGAGGTCTCCTCGGCCAAAGCTGGGTCCATTTTCAAGGGCGCCCTGACGCAGGAGGAAAATATCCACCTGACGATTTTTCGGTTCGGTGCGACCCGCAACCCGACGCGACGATGGAGCACCAGCAGGCCGGAGCTAACGGCGACATCCCTCCTGCGGGGGGGGGGTATCCTTGCGTGCGCCACTACGTGACCGAATGCTGCTCCCTGGACGTCTTCCGCCAGGAGTTCAATTCCACGTGCCACATTCCACCAGACTGTCACGCCAGCCGCGGGCTACGCTAAAGACGGGTTGGATTACCGCCTCGGCTCACGCGTCCCCGGCACGCAGAGCGGAGCTGCAGGTGGCTGTCTGCCAGATGGGGCTTGTTGCCATGCAACAGATGACAGAGGATTGCGAGGCTTTGTTTGAACAATGCCTCGAAGTTTCGAGCGACTCTGTCCCGATGTTCTCTTGTGGTGATTTGTCCTTGTCCTCCCTCCCACTCTCCATGCTCAAGTTTTCTTCCAGGTTCTAACCCTCGATCAGCTGCTCCTGATGTGCAACTCGTGATGCAGCACACTTCGACATCATGCGCAAAGAGGGTACAGTAGAGGGTAAATGGCCACGATGTGTCCCCTGCTTCGCGGTGGGCTCCCCAACCCCCCTGCCCTCCGAAACCTGTGGGTGTGGCGCGCAACACTGCCTCGGGAGTGATCCTGCAATCCTTACGGCTGGGGGGAGGCGGAGGAACAACAAAAACGGCGTCAACAGGTCTTGCCCGTCCGCGCGGAATTTTTGGATCTGCGCTGGAGCCCCCTCCGTGGGGCGCGGAGCGCGCCAGGGGCGGCGGCGGAGGCTGCGCCATGGGGGCCCAGCGCAGATCCACGAAATCCGCGAGGACAGTCAACAGTTTATGTTTATACGGTTTTGTGATATTCGAGGGGACAGTCAAAACGCATGATAAGGATGCGCGGTAAGGATGCAAGGGCCTTGGAAGGCCATGTTGTCGTTCTTCGAACGGGACTGGCCAGCGAAAACTACCAAGGATGGGTCGAATGGGGCAAGGATGCAAAGGCCAGCCTTGGAAAATTGCTCATCCCTACTCTGCGCTGTGACTGTAGGGGGCGAGCAGGAGCAGCGATCCCCCCAACGACCCCCTGTGACTGCATTGAGGGCAGAGGCCAGGATCGGTACGGGGGTGGGAGGCGTGCGCGCCTCGGCGGCTCGAGTTCTGCTGCCCGCCCCCCCTGCACCCCCTGTACCCTGCACGCGCCTGGCCTGAGCTGCTCGGCGAACGGCTACGCTCGACTTTGACGAGGGGGGCGAGCGGAGGGAGACTGCTCGGGGGGGGAACTCGTGACTCGGAATCGGCGGCGCGCCGCCGAAAGCTCGGCGGCGCATGACCTCGACGGCGACACCGCACGCTCCTGGGCGGTGTGGGGCGCCCGGGCCCTGATTGGAGACGGATGCTCGCTTGGAGGTCGATGCTCCCCCGCTGAGCCAGTCCCCCCCGTCGGCGCCCCCGATCTGCGCTCCCGCCTGGTAGTCAATTTGGGCTAAGCCTGTGTCGCTCGAGGATCGGCAGGCTGCCACCGCCAACGAGCCCGAGGAGAGAAGTGCAAGCCGCTCTCCGGCGGCACCTGGCTGGTTCTGGACGCCCTGAATGCACACACGTGTGCATCTTCTCGGGGCCGATGCTTACCTCCGCCGGCGGAGCCGGCCCCGTTCTGCTTTTCCGCCACCCTTCGCTGGCGTCCAGCCGAGGAAGAGATGAACACTTGTCGATCCCTCGATGGCGAGGCCCCAACTGGAACGCCCCACTTCGGAGCCGGGCGAGACGAGACCGCGGCAGCTCCAAGTCGGCCCCCCTGTTCCCTCCAGGGCTCCAAGCCCGCCAGTTGCCCGAGCCGCGCCCAGCGGTGGCGAGGAGGGAGCCCCCCCATGGCCAACCAGATTTCGTGATAAAGGGAGGGGGGTCTCATTTCGGGGGGGGGTCTCTTCCAGGCTATCTTGGAGGGCCTGGGGGGTCTGGGGACGATGTTTTGGAGGGTTCTCCCACGGGGGAGGTCTGAAGTGGCTTGTCTTGGAGGGTCCAGACCCCCTCCCTTTTATTACGAAATCTGGAGTACCGTTGCCTCAAGCCCGCCTCTGCGCACCCGAGCAGGAAGACTGCAGGCGGCGGCGCCTCGTTCGCGGCCTCCCAGCCCTTGGCGGTGCTGGAGGGCTCCAAGAGCACCTCTCGCGGCGGCCGAGGCGCCGCCGGCGCTCCAGCGCCCCGCCGCCTGCTGCTGCGGCGGCCCAGAAGCACTCGACGACGGCGGGATGAAGACGGCATCGGGTAGAACGAAAGGGCGAGCGCCGAGTACGATGCTGGGGCCCCTGGGCATGATCAGTCGGCATCGAATCGGGAAATCGGATCGAATCAAAAAGGGAATGGGACTGGCCAACATCGGCACGACAGCGAACTCGAATCGGAGCGGCTGCGCCGGGATGCACAAGAGCGTAATGCAGGCATCGGGCCGCATCGGATCGCTGGATGACCAAACTCGAATCGAGTCGAGACTGCCGACACAGACATCGAATCAGATCGTTCAGATCGAGATTGACCGTGGAGAGGGGGGCCAAGAAGAGGGAGGCTAGCGCATCATGGCCCGAGGCATGCGCGGGGACGAGGGGGGGGCCAAGGAGTATACTGGGGCACCTGGCACGCGTGGCGCACCAAGAGAGCGTCGCGCGCCTGGCGTCTGTACTAGCCGGCCGCTCTGCGGTTGATCGGGAGTTTCTGTATATAGAAGAAGGTGCGTGCGCCTGTTGGCGAGGGTGAGGATGAGGTTCCTCCTCCTCCTCCTCCTCCTCCTCCTCCTCCTCCTCCTCCTCCTCCATCCTTCTCTTGCCTCCGTCTGTCCTCCTCCACCCCGCAGCTCCATCATCTTCTCCTCCTCCTCCTCCTCCTCCTCCTCCTCCTCCTCCTCCTCCTCCTCATTCCTCCTCTGGGCACCTCCCCCGGGGCGCGGATCCACCGGATCTGTCCGGATCTGTCCGGAAACGGTGCCGGAGGCCGCTCTGGGCTCCTCTGGGCACCTCCCCCGGGGCCGGTTTTGTGAGGATGTCTCAAGCGAGGGCGCCGGTTTGGGATTCGTCCCCGGATCCAGCGGATCCGTCCGGATCCGTCCGGAAACGGTGCCGGAGGCCGCTCTGGGCTCCTGTGGGCACCTCCCCCGGGGCCGGTTTTGCGGGGATGTCTCAGGCGAGGGCGCCGGTTTGGGATTCGCCCCCGGATCCAGCGGATCCGTCCGGATCCGTCCGGAAACGGTGCCGGAGGCCGCTCTGGGCTTCTCCTCCCCCGGGGCCGGATTTGCGGGATGTCTCAGGCGAGGGCGCCGGTTTGGGATTCGTCTGGATCCGTCCGGAAACGGTGCCGGAGGCCGCTCTGGGCTCCTGTGGGCACCTCCCCCGGGGCCGGTTTTGCGGGGATGTCTCAGGCGAGGGCGCCGGTTTGGGATTCGTCCCCGGATCCAGCGGATCCGTCCGGATCCGTCCGGAAACGGTGCCGGAGGCCGCTCTGGGCTCCTCTGGGCACCTCCCCCGGGGCCGGTTTTGCGGGGATGTCTCAGGCGAGGGCGCCGGTTTGGGATTCGTCCCCGGATCCAGCGGATCCGTCCGGATCCGTCCGGAAACGGTGCCGGAGGCCGCTCTGGGCTCCTCTGGGCACCTCCCCCGGGGCCGGTTTTGCGGGATGTCTCAGGCGAGGGCGCCGGTTTGGGATTCGTCCCCGGATCCAGCGGATCCGTCCGGATCCGTCCGGAAACGGTGCCGGAGGCCGCTCTGGGCTCCTCTGGGCACCTCCCCCGGGGCCGGTTTTGCGGGGATGTCTCAGGCGAGGGCGCCGGTTTGGGATTCGTCCCCGGATCCAGCGGATCCGTCCGGATCCGTCCGGAAACGGTGCCGGAGGCCGCTCTGGACTCGTGCTCTTCGCGCCGGGGGTGAGGATGACGTGAGTTCCACAGAAACTCCCTCAAATTAGTTCCCAGTAATTGTGCATCCGATGGGGACTGTCGCCCAGACTGAGTCTCGTGTGCCACCTATATGGTCGGAGGGTGGGTGGGAATGAGCGGGAAAGCTTGTGACGTTCCCGTTCGGAACTTGACGCCTCCCCCTCTTCCGCCCAGGGGTCTGGATCGGAGGGGGGAGGTGTCAGAGAGTTCCCCTTGGCCCAAGATGGCTCCAGCTAGTCCAAGCAGACGCCCCCAATATAGCAAGGATAGCAAAACCCCAAGAAGTCAGAATCGCTTAACGGAATGATGTTTCTCAATGAATTTGGCTAGAGGCTCCAAGGGGGCACCGCTAATAACGCCGTCTCATGTTTGATCGATGCCCTCCAACACGGCCTAAAAAGGGTTCGAAAGGTTCCATGGGGGTTCATTCTGCGCGTGGGCTCTTATATTATACGCACAGGCATTTGTGTGGTATGCGAGCCCCGAGGGTCTCCCACCTCCAGCACCTCCTCCTTCTCCACGTTCTCCTCCACATCCTCCTTCTAACTTTTCGACGGCAAGCTCAGCACTTGCACTCCTGGATCTGCTGAGGCTGGTCCCGAGATTCGGCTTGGTGTATGCCTTTGCTTCCACTGTATGCCCCTGTGATGGAATCTAAATATGGTATTTCGGGAAAAACATCAGCTGCGATGTACAGCCCATTTCGTGCATTCTCACCGGGAATTTGCCAGCGTTTTCCAGGGTAAAGGGTCCGACGCCTCAGCCTAGCCAACACAGTAGCCGAAACCCTGGCGAGTGATGGTGCAGCAGAGGCTCGTGTCGGTGTCACAAGTAGACCTCGAGCTCAACGCTGAGAGGATGGCAAGTCTTGTCAGAACGAGAAATCCGCCGATCCGGCGTGTGAGTTTAAAAGAGCGTGAGCTTGATCTTCGCTTGAGCTCCGCTCTGCAGAGGGGGCGGGGTTGTCAGCGTTTTTTCGCCCCCACCGCCTCCGCTCTGCGGGGGTGGGTGGTCAGCGCTTTCGCCCTCCCGTCCGCTCTGCTAGGCCTTGTGGGGGGGGGGGTCAGCGCTTTCGCCTGCCCCGCCTCCGCGCTGAAAGGGGGGGGGTGTCAGCGCTTTCGCCACCGCCACTGCTCTGCAGGGGGAGGGGGTCAGCGCGTTCGCCCCTCCCCTCCGCTCTGCTAGGGAGGGGAGGGGTGTTGTCAGCGCTTTTGCTCCCGCCTCCGCGCTGCAGGGGGTGGGGTGTCAGCGCTTTCGCCACCGCCTCCGCTCTGCCAGTCTGGGGGGGGTCAGTGCTTTCGCCCCCGCCTCTGCTCTGCAGGGGGAGGGGGGGGTGTCCGCGCAGCGCTTTCGCCCCTCCTCTCCGCTCTGCCAGGGGGGGGGGTCAGCGATTTCGCCCCCGCCTCTGCTCTGCAGGGGGGGGGGGTCAGCGCTTTCGCCCCCGCCTCCGCTCTGCAAGGGGGGAGGGGTGGGGGTCAGCGCTTTCGCTCCTCCCTCCGCTCTGCAAGGGGGGGGGGCCGTTGGTCGTCCGTCGTCGTCGTCGTCGTCGTCGTCGTAGTCGTCGTCGTCGTCGTCGTCGTCGTCGTCGTCGTCGTCGTCGTCGTCGTCGTCGTCGTCGTCGTCGTCGTCCATGTCCACCCGCATCTGGAGCGCCCCAGATCGGAGAACTGGCCAAGAGGCCACTACCTCGAGGTAGTTTGCCAGGCTGGGAACAAACACCGAGGACCCAGGCCAAGTTGAGGCACCCAGGGCCCCGAACTTCGACGCCCAGAATCTGCAGTCTGCTTCTTGTCTGCATGCGACTGAAGAGCACGTTCGTAGTTGTAGTCGGTATAAGGGGTCGGCCTCCCATGGCCACAACACCGCATGGCTGAACTCGGCGTGGTTCGGTTTGGACCGTATGCGCGGCGTCTTGAGGGATCCCCTCCCTGGGCGGCAGGTGCACATTGCGGGGGCCTCGGCTGATCATCCGAGCCATTCAAAGAAGTATCACGCAGGACTGGGACTGTGGCAGAGTTCGCCCTGTGGTTACTATGCAAACCAAGCAGCGAGCTACATGTGCCCAACATTGTGATCACTTTCCAGAGGACTGCCGAATGGATGATTCAATTCCTATGTCGAATGTAACTTTGCCCAAGGCTTACAACAAAGCCGAGCTCGCCAAACGTAGCTGGTCGGGGCAAGCGGTCGCTTCGCGCCTCCGAGCTGTGTGCGGGCTCTTTATCGTAACCAACGTAGTGGCGTTCCCCCTAATCCTGAAACTCCTCTGCATCCTCCCAGTCATTGTCCGAATCCTCGTCCTTGTCTACGTCCGCGTCGTCGTCACACTCCTCATCCCCATCTTTGTCGTCGGCGTCCTACTCCGCCTGGAGAGTAGGGACACTTATGGAACTCTTATGCATGCTCCTCCTCTTCCTATGCCATCTCCTCCTCCTGCTCTGCCTGCCGAAGACCTAGAATCACATTCTCCCTGCAGTTGATCTTGGGCCGAACTCAATTCCTTAGAGTGTGCGGACGCGAAAAGAATTGGGCGCTTCCCCTGGGCTCGCACAGCTGCGTCGCGCGGCCTCTGGCTCCTCCGCGATCTTCTCGGCGTCGACCAGCTTTGCTGCCTGCTAGATTAGAGGCCTCCCAAACAGGGTCGCAATGGATGGTGTCGGAGGATCGTGCCGCATCGCCGATTCATCGCTGATGCATCGGCGACATCGGCGACATCGGCGTGGAAACATCGGGACCCACATCGAGCCGCACGCGCTATGCATCGGCGATGCGGTGCGATCCTCGGGCCCCATCTACTCGGACCCCATCTGGGCGGCCTGGAAATATATGGAAAATCGCGGGGGGATGACATGTCGTCGAGTCGTGATCGCTGAGACTCGTAAAAACAGTATGATCAAGAACATGTAGCGCAACCATAAGCACTGCAGTGTAACATGAGCCGCTGTGCAAGACAAACTGTGTTTCTGGTCATCGTCGTTGTCGCGCTGGGCACCAGACGCTGCCTGAATGCCCTCAAATCTCTGCTTATTGTCCCCCACCCGAAACAACCAGGAATCCGATTCTCAAGCTCAAACAAAGAGTCCGAAACTGAAATAACACAACACCCTGAAGCAGTCAGACGCCGGATGCTCTGAAAACGCACCTCCCTTGAATCTCGTCAGGCCTCTCCCGACTTAATCGCGAGGACCAGGATATCAACATCAAGCCCAAACAGCTAGTCCGACGCTGAAGCAACACCTAGAAGCGGTCGAGGGTCTCATCTGCAGCCAACGCTATGTGTGTGCTTTCCCACATGCCAAATGGGGTTATGGTTTTCTTCCCACCTGCGTCGCACCCGCGTTTCACACCAACCTCACCCTTTGTCCTCCTTCTCGCTCGTACACTCATCAGATATACGCACATATCATACGTGCACACACTTACGCACACACGCAAGACACACAGATACGGGCCTGGCAACTCGCATGACACATGTATACACGTCCACATGCAGCCGCACACACAAATCATACACGTACGCAGGACGCACATACGCAGACTCGTCCACACAAGGAAGACACTCAGACGCGGACCCAATCACTCGCATGACATATGATACACGTCCACACAGCCGCACGCACATATACACATACACGAGACACACAAACACAAACCCACTCACTCACATGAACCGCACACGACGCAACACATACAACATTAACAAACGCTGCACTTTCTCGACGCCATTGGGGGTGCGCAGGGGGTGGTCTCGCTATGCGCGACGGTCGTCCACAGCATAGCAGGCGTGGTACTTTCGCGACCATTGAGGATGTGCGCAGGGGATAGTACCGCTATGCGTGCCATTCGTCTATGACACAGCAGGCGTGGCATGCTCCCGACACCACAAGGGTTGTGCAGGGAGTGGTCCCGCTATGCGTGCTGGTCGTCCAGGGCATCGCAGGCGTGGCACTTTCTTGACCCCGTTGGGGGTGAGAGCAAGGGACTGTCCCGCGATGCGCGCCAGTCGTCCAGGGCACAACAAGCGTGGCATTTTCTCTACCCCACAGGGGGTGCGCAAGGGGTGGTCCTGCTATGTGGGCTAGTCGCCCAGGGCATAGCAATGGATGGCATTTTCTCAACAACGTAAAGGGTGTGAAAGGAGTGGTCCCGCTATGCGCGCCCGTCGTCAAGGCAGAGCAGGCGTGGCACTTTCTCGACACCATCAAAAGTGCGCAAGGGGTGGTGGGGTTATGCGCGCCGGTCGTTCAAGGCATAGCGGGCCTGGCAATTTCTCGCCCCCCCCCAAAAAAACAAAGGGTGGTCCTTCTATGCGCACCAGATGTCCGGGCATAGCACGCGTGGCACTTGATCGACACCATAAGAGGCGCGCAGGGGGTGGTCCCGTTATGCGCGCCCGTCGTTCAAGGCACAGCGGGCTTGGTATTTTCCCGACTCCATGAAAAATCACAAGGGATGGTTCCGCTATGCGCGCCGGTCGTCCAGGGCACAGCAGCCGTGGCATTTTCTCGACCCCGCAGGGGTGCGCAGGCGGTGGTCACGTTATGCACGCTGGTCGTCCTGGACATAGCAAGCGTGGCGCATTCTCGACACGATGGGGGGTGCGCAAGGGGTGGTCCCGCTGTGCGCGCCTGTCGTCCAGGACAAAGCACGCATGGTGTTTTTTCGACACCGTAAAGGGGGTGTGAAAGGGGGGGGGGTCCCTGCGCGCGGTATCTTTTCACGCCGAGGTCGCAGGGCGTGGCAGGTGTGGCATGTCCTCGACACCAGAAGGGGTTGCGGAGTGTGTGGTCCCTGAGCACGGCCTCTATCCACGCCACGGTCGCAGGGCGTGGCAGGTGTGGAATTTCCTCGACAACGTGACAGGCGTCATCGACTGCATGAAAAAGGCAGCGGCTACGAGCATTATTAACAAAATTCCGCGCCAACGGCCATCACACCAAACTATTATAAATATGTTGGGTTCCTCGGTAAGGTGATTTATGTCCTGCCATGCGCTGAACTGTTCATAACGTTGTACACATGCATGTGCATACACACTCACACACGTATACGGGCGAATAGCACAGGCCCGAGGCCACGGCATGGTGGCTTCCTGGATGAGGGTCATTGGATAACTTATCCCACAGACAGCGAGCAAGCTTCCCGGATACCCCCATCCTTACTACAAAACAGCCAGGATACAACCTCGGAGGTCAACGCGAATTTGTTTGGTGGAGCTGGGATCCTCCCCCCACATCGCTTCCCCAGCGCACTCCGCGCGACGGGGGCGGCGCCGGAGTCGCCGTCAGGTGTTTTGTTGATTTTGCCACTTTTAAAACTAACTATTGTTTATTCCCCATGCGGTAAACATTATACCTTTTCAATTGAAGTGCCCCTCTCGGGGCTGGCACCGAGATTTTTACATGGAAAAGCTTGGTGTCACACATTTTCTTGTTGGGCCCCGAACTGCATGAGCAATCATGTTACCCGAATGCTCAATGCGTCTATATGAAGCATGCATCCGTCATGCTAGCTCCCCCTTCATGGGGGATGTTTCTTGCACGCGGGGATCCGATACTCCCTTACCCAGATATCCCGCCCGAGGAAGTCTTGACAACACCGCTTTCGAAACATTTCAACGTCTCCAGCCCGGATGACACATCTCCTTCGGGATCCCCCCTGCCCAGGCATAGCGTCTAGGTATCACGACGCCTGAGCGGCCTAAGACCTCAGGAAGAGGCCTCACAACCTTTGGGAGAGCCCCGCGGAGGGCCCCAAAAGCCTCTGAGAGAAGCTTCGCAACTTGGGCCTCTCTTTCGACCCCTTCCCGGGCCCGCTTTTGCGTCGGCCACTTTCTGATGGCGCCAGGGCTCGTCGTCGTCGTCAACGCCGTCGTCGCCGCCGCCGCCGCCGCCGTCGTCGTCGTCGTCGTCGTCCCCCTCCTCCCCCCTCCATGGCCCTAGGTGTCTCCAAGAGTTCCAGGCCCCCGTTGGCCTCCACCGCACGACGCCGACGCCGACGACGACGACGACGACGACGACGGCGGCGGCGGCGGCAGCGGCGGCGGTGGCGGGAGCGGCGACGACGCCACGCTCCAGGACACGAGCGACAGCGAGGTCGCGCGGAGCAGGCGCGAGAGCACATTCTGGGTGTCCAACAAGAATGTTTAAAGACGACAACAACGACGACGACAACGACGACGACGACAACGACGACGATGGCGGCGGCGGCGGCGACGACGGCGACGACGCCACGCCCCAGGACACGAACGAAAGCGAGGTCGCGCGGAGCAGGCGCGAGAGCGCATTTAGGGCATCCAACCATAATAACTGTTTTGTAACTCAAGTTCAACAAGGACCAGGGAAGCCTCAAGGCCTCCTGGGAATCTTGAGTACAAGCGGAACAGGTATCGAGCGGGAGCGTCGTTGTTTGTAGGGGGTCTTGAAGCGGGAGTGCCGATTTTGTTGGAAAGGCGGCTGCAACCGAACCCCCTGGCCCCGAATGAGAAAGGAGGAAGTATCGAACAAGAGCGTTGTTGTTGTTGTTGAACATTATTTCTTCTTAAGAATAATTATTGTTGGGGCCCCTGGTGCGCGACCCCCCCGCCGCGCCTAGGCCGCAGCCTCATTTTCATCATTTTCGTGAGGAAGCCTCAGGCAAAACGGGGGATACCAGATCCGGTTGTTTTGTTGTCCCCCGCTTTCCCTTGCAAAAAAAGCTAAAGTGGACATTTCTTGTTCTAACATAACCAAACTTCAAGAATCCCTTGCAAAAAAGGCTAAAGTGGACATGTCTTGTTCTAACTTAACCAAACTTCAAGAATCCCTTGCACAAAATAAGGTAAAGTGGACATTCGCGCGCGCAAGACGAATTCCTTCCAAAACCTTGGGTTTCGTAGCGATTTTAACATAAAAACATCAAAAAACCAATGGTTTTTCACAAAAAATGTCAAAATTTCATCCCGCGCGCTCTTGCGGATTCGTCGGAAACCCAACACTTTTTAAACATTTCTGTCAAACGGGCTTTTGCTAGCAACTTGTTCGAACTTCTGCAACAACGGTTGCGCACCTGCCAGGGCCATCATCCCTGTCAAATAATACCATGCGGGACACATTCGTTTTTTCTTCGCGCGCGCACGCCGTCGTCGTCGGCCGCGGGGCCCTGAATAGTAGCCACGGTCGTCCGCATGCCACGAAGTGAAGTGTCCGAACGTCATAGGGCGGGAAGCTGGGTGTGGGTGGTGGCGAAGAGTCGTTTGGAAATTTGGTAGAGCTTGAACCGGCCCCCCCACAAAGTGGGGGTATTGCCCGCCTCCTATGAAAACCCTGGCACTGGTGAGAACGGAGTGTCCCCACGTGCTAGTAATTGTTGTTGTTGTTGAACATTATTACTTCTAAAGAATAATTATTGTTGGGGCCCCTGGTGCACGCCCCCCCCGCCGCGCCTAGGCCGCAGCCACATTTTCATCATTTTCGTGAGGAAGTCTCAAGCAAAACGGGTTGGTCCAGATCCGGTTGTGTTGTTACGATCGGTTTTCCCTTGCAAAAAATAAGCTAAAGTGGACATTTCTTGTTCTAACATAACCAAACTTCAAGAATCCCTTGCAAAAAATAAGGTAAAGTGGACATTCGCGCGCGCAAGACGAAATCCTTCCAAAACCTTAGTTTTCGTAGCGATTTTAACATAAAAACATCAAAAAACCAATGGTTTTTCAACAAAAAAATGTCAAAATTTCATCCCGCGCGCTCTTGCGGATTCGTAGGAAACCCAACACTTTTTAAACATTTCTGTCAAACGGGCTTTTGCGAGCAACTTTTTCGAACTTCTGCAACAACGGTTGCGCACCTGCCAGGGCCATCATCCCTGTCAAATAATACCATGCGGGACACATTCGTTTTTTCTTCGCGCGCGCACGCCGTCGTCGTCGGCCGCGGGGCCCTGAATAGTAGCCACGGTCGTCCGCATGCCACGAAGTGAAGTGTCCGAACGTCATAGGGCGGGAAGCTGGGTGTGGGTGGTGGCGAAGAGTCGTTTGGAAATTTGGTAGAGCTTGAACCGGCCCCCCCACAAAGTGGGGGTATTGCCCGCCTCCTATGAAAACCCTGGCACTGGTGAGAACGGAGTGTCCCCACGTGCTAGTAATTGTTGTTGTTGTTGTTGTTGTTGTTGTTGTTGTTGTTGTTGTTGTTGTTGGGGGGGCACTTTTGGCGGACCCCCGAAACCCTGAGCGCGAGCCTGATTTTCAACGGGAATGCAGCCGGCGCCTAGGCGAGAGCGCGAAAGCGCGTTCACGGTGTCCAAGAATGATAAGTGATTCATAGCTGTTAAGGTCTAGCGGCCATAACAACAGCAACAGCAACAACACCACCATCACCACGACAACCACCACCACCGCACGAGAGCGCGATTTGGACCGTGATGAAATATCCAGCGGGAGCCGCTGTTGATGTTGATGTAACTGACGCCCAGGGGAACAGTACGAGCCCCGTGACTTTCGATAAAAAACAGGGTGCGAGCCCCGGGGGGAGCACTTGAATTGAAAAACATAATCGTCACCGGAGGGGGATCAACAATAATTGTTCTTCAGTAGCGTGAGTTCAACAACAACAAAAACAACAACGGCTCCCGCCTGATCATCCTCACGATGTATTCCACGAGTGTGCTCTCGCATTGGAATTCCTTACAAGTAATGCAGGACTCGCGCTCTCGGCTGGGACCTCCTCCGTTTATTCAGACGCCGCGCCCTCGACACTCGAGAATCACGCTTTCGCATTGGCCTCTCTCACGATTTACTGGGGAATCGATTCGCGATTCTCGCGATTCATGTAGGACGCACGCTTCATCAACATGCCTTCTCGACCTGGCCGCTTGGGCCCGCCTTCCCGACCCACCCATTAGGGTCTACCCGCCCGATGGTCCCGTCTGGTTCTGCCACGTGCTTTCTGTTCCTAGCCCCCCGCCGGCTCTTGAACCGGAAAGGGCCCGCTCCCGACCCGGAAGTGTTTGATGGCACCCGAGCAGGACAGAGCGAACAGTCTCAACATGAATGTTGTTGTTGTCGGTGTTGCGCTGGTTGATATTGCGATTGAATTCTCTAAAGAATAATCGTTGTTGATCCACCCTCCCAACTAGCTGTTATATTTTTCAATATAAGTTTGCGCACCCTGTGTTTTTATACAGGAACGCTGGCCGTCACCAAATTGCGTTGATGGGCCCCGAACTACACCAACGCCGGCTCCAGCCTCATACTTTCTCACACTACATTCCCACATCGCGCTCTCGCGCGGGACTTCTTCACGATGTATGCAGGCATCGCGCTCTCGCGTGGAACTTCCTCGCAATGTATTCAAACGCCGCGCCCTCGACACTCAAGAATCACGCTCTCGCTGTGGATTGCCTGACGGTTGATTTGGGAATCGCGCTGTCGCTCAAGACTTCCTCGCGATGCATGCAGGACGCACGCTTCAGCAACCCCTCTGCTCGACCTGGCCGCTTGGACCCACCTTTCCGAAACGCCCGATAGGGCCTACCCGCCCGATCTGGCCGGCTAATTCTGCCACGTGCTCTCTGTTCCGAACCCCCCTCCTGCCACGTTCTCTCGTGCTCCATCCTCCTCCCCCGTATCCTTGCCTTCCATCCGCCCTCTCTTCTCCTGGCTTAGGGGCGGCACGGAACACACCTTGCAGGTAACAGATATACCCCCACGCGAGGGTACGATCGAAGACGAAAAGGACGAGCATCGAGGGTTTAGGATACACGTGTTGAACGGCACGGGAGCAGATAAGAGGGAACCGTCTTAACAGTACTGCTGTTGGTGATGGTATTGTTGCTGTCGCTGTATTCCCAAATCGCGCTCTCGCACGGGACTTCCTCACAATTCATGTACGCATCGCGCTCTCGCGTAGGACTTTCTCGTTGTTTGTTTCAAACGATGCGCTCTTGGCGTTCAGATTTCACGCTCCCGCCTGATAATTCCTCAGAATGTATTGAGACATCAGCTTCTCACGTGGGATGTCTTCCGAATTTTGCAAGAATCGCGCTCTCGCGTGGGACTCCCACGCCGTATCTTCAGACGCCGCGCCCTCGACACTCAAGAATCACGCTCTCGCTGTGGATTTCCTGACGGTTGATTTGGGAATCGCGCTGTCGCTACAGACTTCCTCGAAGACGCAGGCTTCATCAACCCGCCTGCTTGACCTGGCCGCCTGGACCCACCTTCCCGACCCGCCCGCTAGGGTCTACCCGACCGATCTGCCCGTTCGGTTCTGCCGCGTGTTTTCAATTCCGAACCTTCCTCCTGCCACTTTTTCTCGTGTTCCATCCTCCTCCGTATTGTCCCTGCCTTCCATCCGTCCTCCCTTACCCTGCCTTAAGGACTGCGCGAAATACACGCCGCACTAAAGATAGATATATCCCCCAAAGGGGGGCATGAACTGCTGGCGGCGCTCAATCTGGAACGCCGGCGTTGGGGTCGCCGCCGCGTCGACACGGCACGTCCAAGAAGGTGGTGAGTTTATGAGAATGCAGGGGCCTTCTTTCAGGACCCCTCCCTGCTCCTGGTCCAGGAAGCCTTCTCTCAGCAGCCCCCGGGCCCTTCTGAGGAGGCCCCTGCCGTCAGAGATGCCCCCCCCCCTTCTTCGGAGGCCGCCCCCCTCGCGCCTCCCCCTCTCTTGCGCGCCGCCAGATGGCGCGATGGCTGCGCCCCTCACGCCGCGCCGCACGGAGCTGCCTTCTGGCCCTGCACCAGCCGCTGCACGTGCCCCCTGCGCTCCGTCAGGGGCGCCGCCGTCTCGTGCATCAGCACCCCGTGGGCCATGTCGAAGACCTGAGGGGTAACGATCGGGGGGAACAAACTTTGGGGGGGGGGGGGCATCGACCCAGAATCGGCGATACATCGCAGATAGGCCCCCGATAGCGAAGCCCCACGTTCCTGGACGTGGTGGGGCTGTCAGACCCTGTCGGCGATCAGTGGGCGCTTAGGGGTCGATTCGCTCCTCCTGCGCCTGTCCCACCCCGGCCCCCCCCTTTTACCCTTGCCCCTGAAGACCTCTCGCCCTGCCCTCCCCCAGGTTTCTGGCGTTTCGGGAAGGCCTGTGGCCATCCTCGGCTTCAGGGGGGCGCCCGCGGGGCCCTGGGGCCGTCAGGGAACAGCTCGGGAAGAAGCAGCAGAGCCGGGGCGGGGGGTCGGAGACCCCTGGGGGGCCCACGTCGGGAACCGCTTCACCGATTCACAGCGTCGGGGGTCTGGGGAGAACAGCGGGGGAACAACCTGCATGAACAGACTCGCGCGGGCATGAAATTCTCGACGCCGGCACTGCTCGCAGGGCAGGGTCGGGGAGCGCGAGGGTCTGGGGGCCCCCCTCCAGGCCCCCAGATCTGGCCGAAATCGGCGCGCTCCACCGGACCGCCGACCGTATAATATGAGTGTGACTGGGATCAGCCGGAATTTGTGGAAAGGGCCAAGGGACACACGCAACTAAAACATATACAAGTCCCAGGATCACCCGTAATCGCACTTAGCTGCCACGATACGCACCACGCAACACGTAGCGTGTTGACACGGAGCTCGACACGTAGACTGAAAACGTGTATTAGGGGCGGTACGATCGCCCAAACGTGGGCCAACGTGTTGGGCCAACGCGCAGCATGCTGACACGGACGTTTTGAACACGGCACGTGTTGCGTTTCAAGACGTGCGTATCAAGGCAGCTGCGTTCCTGCACTTTCTTGAAAGTCGACGATTCTTCGTGTCTGTGTCTATGTTCCCCTCCTGAGCTTGCGCCAGCGCCCCTCTACTTCCAGAGCTCCGCGTGGGTTTCTAGGGTCGGCGCTGGGTGCCCCTTCCCCCACGAAGCGCGGTGTGCGCCAGGGGAGGGGAGCCTCTGGCGCCGCCCCTGGGGGCGCCCCAGCGCCGACCTGAGAAATCCGCGCGGGCCTCCGATGGGTTACGTCTGTGCCGCCTGTATTATTCTGTCCCTTCGGCTGCACGCGAGAGTGATCCTAGAAGCACGAGTGGCCACTGGTGCACGGCCCGACGACCGTCACATGCGGTGCGACAGTAGCGGCCTGCGCCCTGGGGCGCGCTCGGGAGACGGGGGGCGCCTTGAAAGACCCAGCGCGGAGCACTTCGCGGCGCAGGGTCCAGGCTGCTTTCGTAGAGCGAGGCGCTGCGCGCACTGCGATGGGCCCGCGCTGGGCCACCCCTTCTCCTGGCCAACCGCAGATCCCCGTCGTCGTCGTCGTCGCCGCCAACGCTGCCGCCGCCGCGGCCGTCGTCGTCATCGTCGTCGTCGTCGTCGCCGTCGTCGTCGTTCTCGTCGTCGTCGTCGTCTTTTTCGTCGTCCTCGTCTCGCGAGTGGGCGCCTCGAAAGGAAGCAGGGGGGGTCAGCTCTCCGTCCGGGCAGCAGCGAACCCAGGGGAGAAGCAAGGAGGAAAAGGCCTTCTTAGGAGGCTCGGGGGCCCCCTGGCCTTCGGAGAAATTTGCTGAGCCCTTCCCGAAGCCGACACGGAAAACCCCTCAGAGGCCCGGAGGGCTTCTGAGAAGCCCCGCCACCTTCCAACAGGACTTCCTTTTCTCACTTCCCCCCTCGCTCGCCGCTCGCTCTCGGAGTCAATTTCCGACGCCTGTTTGATAAATACAGAGTCGACCAACTCGAAACGCTCCGAATGGCAAGCAGGGCGCTCCCAAAGCCGGTGGCGCTCAGAGGCAGGATATCGGTTGCAAATTTGGCAGCTAGCTGACTTGATCGCTCTCTGGGGGTCCAAGTCGCACCCCCCACACTCATCTTTCACGACATCCGCGCTCGAGCGAAGAAACTGTCTTCGATCGGAGACGGGATTTGACCACATCAAAACACAACCGAGGAAATTTCACCCCAGCCGCATTCGCAGCAGAGCACTCTAGGGCACGGAGCGAGGCTCGAATTGACATGTTCTTCAGCAAGTCTGGGCCGACCAACGTGGGACTAACCTCCTCCCCAAAGTCGCTCGCCAAAGTCGCACAATTGATCATGCGTCATGCCCCATCTGATCCTTTCCAAAGTTGATTGGTCCCTCGACCTAGCGCCACTCCGAGAGGTCCGACAAGAAGGCTGCTCACCAGTTCTCGCGGAGCTCCTTGAACATCAAACCAAACGCATCACACCCAGAGTGCACCGCCCAAACCTTTTCGAAAACCTGAGTACAGGAACAATGGACGGCCTCATCCTTGGATCTTCCTCAAGAACACATGGCTTCGTAAGGCTATGGCCCCTAGCGCGAGGTCGGAGAACCCGATCTGCATTTTACCAGAGTCGCAAGAGCCCAGTATTAGACATCCCACTGATTTCGGCCACGTGCAGGATCCCAGGGAGACAGCACTAAATAAAACTGCGTTTGGCATAGAGCCTTAACGTTGTGCTTACCTTGACGAACTTGCGAGTCGACTTCGTGAGATGACACGCGCGAGCCGCCCAATTCCGCGCACGAGCACGGACTCTCCTGGTTAGGCCCACTGTGTCGTTAATGCCGAGCTTGACGGGCGATTCAGACAACACGTCAAAGCAACCTCCGAAGGGAGACCGCAGCTCGAGAGCAACAGCACGGTCCGAGCAAACGAAGCTCGCGTCTTGTGGGAAATAGCCTTACAGCCGAACTCCCCTTTCGAAGGTCCTGGCGAAGGCACCCGAGCCATCCTCAAGCCCAGAACGCATCCCTGGAGGAACCGACCGCCGAACGCCCAGAATCATCTGTGTACTGATCAAGGATCAAGGATCACACTGATAGGAAACACAATGATGTCGAGTGGCTCGATCATATAAACACGCACGCGTATAGTGGCCAACATGCGGTCAGCCGTGACTCCGAACAGCGCGTGGGATATCCTGCCGCGGCCGAAGAGAGGCACACCCGCGCAGCGGCACATGCCCGCACTAAGCTGGGCCACCGCCGTGGGGAAACTGAAACTTTCTATACCGCGCGGGCTCTGGCACGCGGTGGCGGAAGTGGTGTGTGCGTCGTGGCGCCACCCGCCCCTGCCCGAGCCACACCCCTCGGCCAGCTTCCACAGGAGACCGCCCCGGGACTGCAGCAAAGACGGAGCCCGAAGACGGCCGGCCGCGGGAGGCCCCCGCAGAGCCGCCGCGGCCGCCCTGCCCGCGGGCGGCGAGGACCCGGGAGGAGGAGAGTCTCGAGACAAAGAGGCCGAGGAGGCGGGGAGGAGAAGGAGGAGAGCCCGCGGCCCGCGCGGGGGGCGCCAGACCAGCTTGCGGCGCGCCAGCAAGGCCTCCGCGGCCTGCCGGAACATGGGCCTGCGCAGGAGCGCCGCGACCGACTCCTCCGCGGGGCGGGCGCGGGCGCTGATGTTGAGCGGGACCTTGTCGTCAATATCGTCGTCGTCCATCTCTTCATTCTTCGCCCTTCTCCTTCTACTTCCCCATCCTTCCTTTTGTTTGCTTCATCCTCGATGCTCCTTGTTTCTGCCCATCCTTCTTCTTTGCTGCCTTACCCTCCTGCTTCTTGGTCATGTGCTCCTTACCCATGGTCTGCAAATGGTTCGTCACCTTACAATTCGTAATGTGAACGCCGTACAGTTATTATGGTTGTAAGCAAGCTATTAACTATTACCATGCATTATACTTGTTGAAATTCTTGCGACGAGCATCGTCTCCTCACCTTCTTCCTCGATTGAGATTGTTGCTATGCTTCGTCATGCGCGTCGTCGCATCGTCTGCTTTCAAGTTCTACTGGTAGTTTTACTTTTTGTCTCCTCTCTGCGAGCAGGGCGGGGGATGAAGGGGGGAGGCGGACGAGGAGGGGAAGGAGACTAATGGAGAGGAGATGGAAGAGGATGGAGGAGGGGGGGAAGGAAGAGAGGGGACGAGGGTGAACGATTCTTGACGTACGGGCCCGTCTCAAGCCTCCACACTGGCCCTCGTGTCCCTTTTCAGGGCTCCGCGTGGACTCCACGCGGGGTCTGGGAACCCGCTTGGAACGGATTTCAGTCGTCGTCGTCGTCTTCCTTCTCCTCCTCCTCTTATTACTGTTCTTCCTCATCCTGCTGATCCGCCTCGCCGATGTCCTCCTCGCCCTCGCCTTCCTCCCGGTCATCCTTTCTACGATTTCTTTTCTTCCCTCTCCTTCCTTCTTTCAGCTCCTCGTCGTCCTCCTCCTCAGTCCCCCAATCTCCTCCTCAACCTCTTCAACCTCCCCCTCCTCATCCGTGCTCTTCTTTTCCTCCTTTCTGCTGCTCCTCCTCCTCCCCCCAGGTCTCTTCAACGCCCCTGGCCCACCGTCCTCCTCGCCCTCCTCCTCCCCCTCCTGATTTTCCTTCAACTTTTCCTTACTCGTGCTTTGCCAGCGGGGGCTCAACTGAGCACACACAACAAGCATACAGTTCCTGAGTTCAGCAAAGAATCGGTCGTGCGAAAAAGGGGGACAGGAAAAAGACCGAGAATCGTTCACACGGCACGCGCCTGCTTCACAAATCCCTCCGTGAAGGGCCTGATGTGTCCTGCCTTTCTGACGGCCCGGCTGTCCGCGGCGTCGAACGCATCCACTTGCGCATCTTTCTTGGCTGACAACGGCGATGGTATCGCTACAATCCGCAACCAACGAGAGTTCGTAGTCTGGACCAGTGCGCGATGAGGCGTGGCGATGTCGAAAACTTGTTGTGGCAAGATGGGCGAACCCCATCCGATTCTGAGTGCGATCAGCGCGGGCACCATACTTGATCCGGGCGTGAGTCAACATCTCCTTCTGCGTGGCGAATGCCCTGCCGCATGACCAAGGCTGATTCGCTGCAACAGCTTCGTGAGCACATGCAGCCCCGCGACGCGCGCGTTGCACACAGACTCAAAGAAACGCGAAAGAAACACAACGGCGTGCTAAATATCACCATGTGTGCACATGGTGTCGAACCGCGCTTCCGGGTGCTCTCGCTGGCATGGGAGACTTCCCTTGGCCAGCGGCGACAGCCGGAAACTTTTGCAAGAATCCTCTCTGACCGCGCGAACCCAGCGGAACACTTCGAAGGAACCGTCGGCCCGCACGTGCGCCTGCGACAGCATTGACTGCAAAGACCTACAGTCGAGCCACAGGAAACGAGCGAGGTACAACAACCTGATCTGCAGAAACAAGGGATCCAAATAAGCCGTGTTCGCAGCCTTGCGCGCTTCAATGTTGGCTTCAGCAGTGCCATCCATTTTCACCCGATGGTGCATCCGACGAACGAAGCACATTTAAGTGGCACTCAGCACGCGCAACTCATGCACTTTCAACTCCCTCACAGAACCATCCCATAACGAGGTCGACAAGATGGGGCTTCGACATAGGGAAGCATGCAACGAGAGCCGCAAGTCGCTATGGCCGAGCCATCTTCGTAGCAATTGGCGCATCAGACGCGAGCACACTTCTGAAGGTTTGCTTAACGTAAGGGATGTTGGTTCTGCTCACGCTGGTGGCGCTGCCAAGCGCGTGTGCTCCGAACCATCGTGCAATGGCGCATCGCTTCTAGGCATGCGCAAGCCGTACCCGGCATCCGTTCGCAACCTGTCATGGAACTTTGCCGAGCGACTGCCGCGGAACTTGACGAACGCCTCGGTCTTATCGTTGCTCACATTGATGCGCAACCGAAAGCACTCGAATAATTCAGTGATTACCGCAAACAGTGTCTGCGCAGCCTCCCACAAGAGATGCGGCGACAAGACAAATAGCACGAAACACAGGTTATGGACGTACACAGCATCAACAACCTCCTGCGCAACCCCGGTACATGGGGTGCCTGGAGACAGTGGGCCCTCACTGCGACGACAAGCGCGCCACCCTCCCCCGCGTGCCTCGGTGCGACGTTGTCGTCGTCGTCGTCGTCGTCGTCGTCGTCATCTTCGTCGTCTTCGTCTTCGTCGTCGTGATCGCCGCCGCCGTTACCGTGGTCGTCCTTCTCCTTCTCCTCCTCCTCCTTCTGCCTTCGGCAAAATATTTCCATGGGCGTTCCGGAAACCCTGGGGATCTCCTCCTCCCTTCTCTGGAGGTCAAACATCGGTCCTGGACCTGTGTTGAGGTGCGTCTTGACCAATCTTTCGAAGCGGGTCTAGCAGTGGCGTTGAGGCCCCGGGAAGCCCACAACGCCGAAAAACTCAACATGACCCTCGAACCTCGACCAATTCCGGCCAGACCCCACTCAAAGTCGGTGCCCAAAGCCTTCCAAATATGCATCTAGAAAAATGTTTCACCCTTGGGCCGATTTCTGACGGCCAACAGGTGCCCAAACCGGGCCTCCAAATTGTACTAAGGACAACGAAATTGGAACCTCAAATCTCGAGGCTCCTCCCGCTTTCTTTCCCACGTCTCATGTCATCCACTATGACAGGACTACAAATTCGAAATACAATTCAATGAACCGAGCGCGTGTGGCAGAATTGGATGGGCCAAAATGTTTGGTGAGATATGCTATGCAATCGTCGAGTGTAACGGTCTCGGCCGTGGAAGGAAACATAGACTTCCCCCCTTCCTCCTCGTCATCCTTCCCATCCTCGTCATCTCCCTCCGCCTCATCCTGCACGCTCTCGTCGACCTCGTCTCCGTCGTCGTCCTTATCCTCGTGCTCGCCCTCCTCGTCGTTGTCCTCTTCCTCGTCCTCATCCTCCTCCCTCCCCCTCCCTCCATCCATCCCCCCTCCCTCCCTCATCCCGGCCCGCCGAAGGACAGGGACCGGGCACCCTCCGGGGAAGGCTGTCCCCACCGCCGCCGCCATCATCGTCGCCATCGTCGTCGTCGCCGTCGTCTGTCCCCCCCGCTCCTCATGCTCCTATTCCTCCTGAGGCGCGGGACGACGAGGGAGAGAGAGAGGAGGGGGACGACAAGGAGGGATTGTATAAAGAAAAGCGGATGCGAAGATGGAACGGAGAGAAGGATTGGGGCCGAGGAAGAGCATGGAGGATGAGGAGGATGAGGACCTCGTTCTCCTCCTCTTTTTCTTTATGACTAACTCCTCCCTGTCGCCCCCTAGACGTGTCGCTAGTGCGGGCCAGGCGTCTCGACTGAGATTCCCTACCCATGTATGACTGGCTTTCAAAATGTGGCTCTCGCCTTAGCGCCGCGCACGCTCGTCATAAACACGCAGCAGATTCACAGATGAAGGGCGGCCGTTTGCACACTGCGGCTCTCACCTTAGCGCCGCGCACATTCGTCTCAAAAGTGAGCTACATTGTCAAAGATGGAAGACAGGTTGTTTTCACAATGTGGGTGACGCCTCAGCGCTGCGCACAATCGTCAGAAAAAGTTTGCAACAGTTCGACGACTGGAGGGCGGGCCATTTGCAAAAATGTGGATCTCGCCCTAGCGCCGAGCACATTCGTCTCCAAACTTTGTGAATAATACGAGGGTTCGTATGATTGAGGTCCCCGGAGTGATGTCCTGGTACGGTTTGCAGTTATCAGCGCGTTGAAGTCCCAGGAACGGTGATATGCCACGGCTGAGGATTCCCAGGCGTTTGTCTTCTAATGGGGCACTTCCCACAATGAGCATACATTCTTGTAGGGGTCCATGGCGAGGGAACTTGGAGGGACGGTTTGTTGCAGCATCGTAGATGCGTCTTGCATTTACACTGGTCCTCCTCCTCTTCCTCCTCTTGCCATCGAGCGAGTGTCCATTCCCCGTGCATAGTTGAGCTTCGTGCGTGCGTTATTCTCCAGCTGGTCCAAGATGCTGCAAGATGGTTCAGGCTTTCTGGCGCTAGCCTCGCCGAGACATTCGCTCACGCCCGAACGATACAACGTCCTCCTCCTCCCCCTCCTCCTCCCCTCCGTGCTGGCGGCGCGTGTGGCTTGATCATGCCTCATTTGAGGCGGCCGTCCTTCACAAGTGGCTTTCTCTTGCAGTTCGGACCAAACCTTCGGCGCTGTAGGCGCTCATCCTCAGGTGCTCGGGTCAGAGGCAGTAGCTCGCAGACACAGGAGGATGCATAGTTTAATCGTTATGTGACTTTGTCTTAATCCAATTCTATTCCCTGCGCTACGGCGAGGGAATTGAATAAGGAACCGTTGGGTAAGGAGCCCAGGGTCTGGAAGCGAGTGGAACTCCAATCGTGGCTTGGCCATGGATACCACCGCCGCCCTCATCGGACAAGGATGCCTCCAGGGTCTGAAGCTTCATGGGCACATTTCTTAATCAAGGCCCCTACCGTACCCTCCCTCCCCCAGACCGCTGACGTCACGACTGCTTTCACAACGTCGACCCCCAAAGCTCTCGACCCGTTTTCCCCAGGACCGGGTTTTCCCCCGAGTCGTTGTTGACCGCCCCGAGGCCACGCAGGGCCCCCCAGCAGCCGAGATCGGCGAACAGCATCCCGTCGCGATTTTTTCTTGACCCGACGGGGGTCCGGGCCCATCCCCCGAGAGCCCCGCGGCCGACAGGGCGCACGGCGGTCTCCTTCCGCGGGGCGCTGTCGGCGGACGCCTCCGGCCTCGGCGGCCGCAGGGCCTGGCTCAGCATCTTCCTCACGATCGTGGTGCGGACGGTGCGGCGGCCCTGGGCGGCGGCCGCTTCGCGGGGGAGGGCGGGAAAAGGAGGAGGAGTGCGAGGAGGAAGAGAAGGATGAGGATCATGTGAAACAGAAGCGTCGGCGGGGGAGGAGGAACGAAGATGAGGACGGGGAGGCGGAGGACGAACCCCTTTACTTTTCTGCTCGACGAATGGGGCTATGACTGCCTTGAAACGTGAGGTACATAGAAATGTGGCAACCCGTCGCTGGATCGGGTCTCGTATCGATCCTTTTCCGGTTTTGCTATGCACGCTGGTGCACGCGCGCGGTCGATGCTGCAACACACGCGCGGCGGGGCAGGCTGCTGCAAGGGTTAGCTACGCACCATTCAGGTGCAACTCGCATGGAATTTTCATCCTCGGAAACACAAAAACTGCATTGCACGGCGCACTGGAGGAATATTAGGCTGTATGATTCATTGAGCTGTCCAATGAAATGGGGGACAGCAGCTCACTCGAACTCGAACGGACAGTAGTCGTCATCCTCGTCGACAGGGCCCGCCACCAGGGGCTGAGATGTAGGAGAGGGCGCCGTGCCCCCGATCACTTCACGACGAACGAGCAGGATGGGCCCCGTCCCACGAGCCTGCACATCTGAGCGTCCCTGTCCTACTGCGTCAGGATGTCAAACAGCTCGTCAACTCGTCTTCCAGCCAACCAGGCGGGGCTACACCAGTGTGGCGGGTCGCCACTCCCTCCGCGATGTACGCGTTCGTGGTGACTCCGCTCATCGGCCATACTGGTGCAGCTACCTGGAGCTTCACCTTGTCGGTATCGTGGCACCGCTCGACTCTGTTCGCGGCCGCGCCGAGCTCGACATTGGTCCTCGTCACCGTGGGTTCGGTGCCGTTCGGTGGAATGATCTGCTTCATGTTCATGTACTGGCTTATGTCGTTCCTTGCTTTTCCAGGGGATAGGGAAGGAACAGGAGTATGGGATGGGTGGGGGAAGGAAGAGGAGGTATAGGAAGAGCAGGGTGAGGAACTGGATGCAGGAGGGACTTATGAGGCAGGCGAGAGGAGGGATCGGCGAGGGAGGCGTGTGAATAACGGCGAACGCTGAGCATGATGGAGGTGGATCCAGCGGAGGGCATGATGCACATGCGTACGATGACCATAGCAATGATGTCGATAGCCGTGGCGACGACGACGGCTACCATGATGGCGCTGATGATGGATACAACAGGATGAGGGTAGATAGTGGTGCTGATGATGCTGATGGTGATGATGCTGATCAACCAATCGACTTTGCAGCATCGGTACCAGTAGCAGGCTTGACACCCTTCGTAGCTGCGTCGGGGCTGCAACTCGTGGAAGAGTCCACCGAAACCGCTCTCGCAGGCCCCTGAGTCGTAGGGCACGGGCTCGCTGAAGCCACTGATGCGGGTGGCCCGCTGCAGCTGGCCAGGCAGCACACCAGCCATACCTGCGCACAAAGATATGTCCGGGCCTTTCTCTTCGACGAAGCGTGCGGGACCTCTCTCTCCCCTCCTTCCGCCTCAGAAAAGCAACAGCCAAGCCTGGGTCCAGCTGCCCAGCTCGCAACGTGCTGGCCATGCGGTCTGAGAAAAAAGACGACGGGTCAATTTCTCCAGCTCAGCAGGACTCACTTAACTCACATCTTGTTGAGATCGTCCAGCAACTTTCTTACTTCGCGCTCCGGCGGGCCCTTCGGGAGGGGGGGCCTGCTTTGAACCCGGCGTCGGACACCCTCAGCGCCGACAAAACCCCGTTCTCGAGCTCCTGCCACTGGTTGCTGAAGCGCACCGAGGTGCGAATCTCGTTGCCCACTCCCTCCTTCTCGCGCGTCAGCCTGCAACGGCAGTGCCTCGCTTGCTCCGCCACCTCCGTCAGCAGCTTCTGGAGGATGGCCTCATCCCAGAACTTGCCCAGGAAGGGAGAGCACAGCAGGTCGGCCTCGCCCTCGGGCTCCCCCTTGAAGCCCTTCGCCACCGCGCGGAAGTCCTTGCCCGCCCGCGCCATCGCCTTGGCGATGACATGGTCCGCCGCCAGCGGCGCGGTGTAGAACGACGCCCCGATGAGATCGCACGCCTCCGCCGCCTGCGCGAGCGCCAGCGCCGCCAGGAGCACAGCCATCTTCTCGAGCTTCTTCTTTCTGGTTGCGGCCTTCGCGCCTGCCTCGACGTGACGAGCTGGCGCCAATCGCCCTCCGCGCCGGCGCCTCCGGGCCCGCTTGATGCCCCGCTCTGGCTCCTGCATCGACATGCTGCCGCAGAGCGTGGGAGGGCGCGCGTCCGAGCAAATCATCGTGCAATTCAGGATGAGCTTGAGCCCCATGACTACAGAGCACGCACTCCAGGACCGTCCGGACAACCACCTCCCCCCCCACATCTGGAAGCTGCGCGATGATCATGTCGAAGAACTCTGGCTTGTAGATGATGAGGTGCCGCGAGCCGAGACGAGAACACATCGCGACGCATAGGGCGTCGATCTGTGACCACAAGACTCGACCATGCATCCACCTGCCTGCGACGTTTCTGCATGCGCGTGGACAGCTTCTGACGCGTAGCAAAACCCGACCGACGCTCCACGCCCTCAGTCGTATAGCAACACTTCCAGGGGCCACCTTCAACCGCCGCGGGCCTCTGATTCACCCGCGGACGATTTGTAGCGCGCTGGGCGTCCAGACCGCGGAGCAACGACGCATCCAACTTCGGAATCCGAGCAAACCTTTGAAACCTCGAAGAGCTTGCCTGCGCACCGGCCAGCCCCCCTCAGCTCCCGCAGGAGCCACTCAGAGTCTTCCAGGACGCGCAAGCTCTGGGCATCTTCTAAAACCCTCCGCGCCCATGGATTCGCCAACGAACTCAGGCACCCAGGGCGAAACATGGTCTCTTCCGTCTCAGAAGGCAGAGACGTTTTAACCGGCGAACTCGAAGCTCAACCCCAACGGGCGGAACTCTCCTGCAGGCTCGCACACGATCCGACGTCCAGGACGAATGCTTTTCACCCTCAACTCTATGAGCCTACCCCAGGAGCGTTCTTATACGCAGCGAGTCCAGGACCGAACTAAGCCCCCTTCGCTGCGCCTCTGCGGGGGGAACGCCTCGAGTATCTGGGCCGCCGTGCCCAGGACGACCCCAATGGGCATCGCCTTCCTGGACCTGCATGGGGGCCCCCTTGAGGCGCGAGAAGCCGCCTTGGGCGTAGCCCCCACGATAGACAGCCGCTCCCCCCTGGCCCCCACCTCTCTCGAACAAGCCGCGCCAGGACGCCCCGCGGCAACAACCTGTGCCCCGTAGATATCGGCCTGCTGGGGCCGCTCGCCCTGGAAAAAAAAACAACCTCGCGATGCTGGGCATTGCGCAAGTCCCAGCGAGCCCACTTCCCAATCAAGCTCAACATGACAATCTGCTGTCTGGCGTTTTGCACGCTGCCGCCCTCGAGCAAGGCCTCCAACAGTGCAGCGGAATCAGTCCGCATTACATGTGCCAGAGACTCAGCCCGATCCCCTGCGCGCCCCAGACGCAGCCGACGTAGGTCGCCCGCGCGCGAACAGGAGAAACATATCCACGCAGCCAGGCAAGGGAAAGCAGCGGGCATGAAGCTCCGCAGATCCCAGCCCCCACTCAGCTTCTCGATGTCGCCGAACAGCCAAGGCAGGCAGGAGCGCCCAAGTCCACGCGGCCGCCGTGAACGGGTCGCCCACGAGGCCGCCAACTTGCGGCTTGAGAAACAGATCGGCACCGCAGCTGGGAACGGAAAAATACGATTGCCCCACTCTTTGCCGAGCCACACTTGGGACCGATCCACCATGCAGAATATCAGTTGCCTCCGCAACTCGAGCGTGGTGAATGCCACCAAAGGCCTTCGTCACACCAAAGAACTGCTTGCCAAGACTCCCCCCGCTCTCTCGCGCACGCCAAGCAACCGCATCGCTGACTAAAGGAGGCGTCTCCTTGCTACGTCACTTCTGGTAGCCATGCGCATTGGGCAATCCCGCTGTGCGGCTACAATCCCAGCGTCGAGGACAACGCCCAGCCGTCCGAGTGCGCAGACAGCCAAGGAAGACAGCACGCGCGAAGTGCAAGGTGGGCCGCCCCACCACCCCAGCTCCATGTCCTCCTCGATGCTGTCCAAGTCGAACTCCAGCTCCAAGGTTGAGCGCCATGTCCCAGATCTCGCCAGGCACCGACCAGGCCGGCCCCGCCATCCGCTATGCCGCGCGCCTCGAGGCAATACCGAGCCGCCTCGCATCCTCCGCCGCGTCCTCCTGCGCGCCCACGTCCAGCAGCGGTCCCTCCACCTCGGGTACTGCAGGCCGCGCAAACAGCCCGCGCGCCCGAATGCCGCCGTCGCTGCCCCCCGCGCCCCAGAAGTCCTTCGGCTCGACGCCGGCGGGCATGGCCGTCTGCAGCGCAGGGTGATGCCCATCATTTGGCCGCCCCATGCATCCAGCAGCCAGTCGCGCACACCTGGCCGCTCCATGCAAGATCCCGCATCCTCCATGCCTCCTGCATCTCCTCCATGAAAGCCGCCCTCTTCGCCTCTAAACCCGCCCTGCCCATCTTGCCGGGCATCGTCGCATGACCTTTGACTTTGGCAGATAGGGCATCCCCCAACTCATCATCATCAGCCGCTCCCCCAAGCCGCCGTCGAGCCTCTCGCCTCTCACTGGGCAGAAGACTACGCCCATGTCCACGCTCGCCCCGCCCTCTAACCACGGCACCTGCCTGCAGGAAACACTTCGCGCCCGCCTGCCAGAGGGCGCGCTCCAGGAATTCGAAGAGCTGGTCAGGATCGGCAATCTGTGCAAAATGCGCCCATTGCTCCTGCAACTCCTCCACGATCCGCTTCACTTCATCGAACAGATCTCGCTGCTTATAGCTATCCCTCATCGCCGTCATCATAGCATCCCTACCCAGTCGCTGGCCACCCGTGAAGTCAGGAGGAGAAGACCCTCGAACTTCTCCAGAAGCAAGCCCCTGAGGT